TCCCTCCTCAGGCAAAAGGGCAGGGGCTGTGCTGCTTTGTCTCATGCGGTCACTTTGGCTTTGCTTCTTTGGGACCAAGGAGGGCTTGATCTGGGCTTGGGGGAAGGCTCATGTATATAGCTTTGGGGCTTACAGGCCTCTTTACAAATGCAGGCTCCCTAATCAAATACTAGCCAGCCAGGACCCCTCCATGCTGTCACTACCATTGCCCTGAATTATTGCCACAGCTTTCTCGGGGATCATGAACCAGAACCCAGTTGTGCTGAAAACTGTCACAGGCTGGAAGTTTTCTGCTAATGTATGTGGCCTTAAAGGGACAGCATGCACAATGACTAAAATGATTTTAAAAGTGTTATAAAGTCAGTCTTGAGAGGCAGCAAGACCCAGGTCAAATTCTGTGTCTTCCATCATGCCAGAATTAAAGGAGACATTGCTCTTTTCTATCAATAATCGGTCAGCTGTTTCAGAGGGATGGAAGAAAGCCAGTGAGCTTTAGGAGGCATAAAACAAGCTTGATAGTCAGATTTAGAGCTGAAAGGGAACTTAGAGATCAATTAGTTCAACCCTCTCATTTTACAAATGAGGAAACTGAGGCCCAGAGAGGCCCAGTGATTGACCAGGTCATACAAGTAGAAAGGGTAGAGTTGGGTCTTCAACAAAAGTCCTCTGACTCCACACCTAGGTTTTTTTCATATGTGTGTGTATGTATGTGTGTATGTGTATTATATAGACATGTATGTATGTATGAATGTATGTATAGAGATACAGGTACATTTATATATATGTATATATACACCTAATATACATATATCTGCCACAGTGCTGACTGGTTTTTAAAAAATAGCTTTTGTTCTTTACTTATTACTGTTTTATTCCCTGTGATTATGCTTGAAATCAATTCACTGATTTCTGTTTACACGTAGCTCTATGTATTACCAGCCACCCACACTATCAGCCTGAAGTGTAAACATTCTTGGGTTGCTGAGCCAACCTTGGCCACGCCAGATGGGTAGGGACCAGAATAAATTCTTTCAAAACTCTTAATCGAGGTTCTGTTGCGTTTTGGGTCGGTTGATATTGGATGGCTGAGGAGGAGCCACAGAAGCAGAGACTCAGAGCTAGGAGGGGCTTTTAGAGATCTTCTGGTCCAGTCGTCTGATTTTACAGAGGAGGAAATTGAGGCGCTGAGAGGAAGACCAGCCCGAGGCCACATGGGGGTCTGTAGGGAAGCCAATCTCTGAACCTAGGCTCCCCAGCTCCAAATCAGGGCTCTTTACACTCCACCATGCAGCTAAGAAAAAAAGTGCTCTTTTGTAGCAGAAAGGAAGTTGAGTGGTTTGTGAAGGCTGCTGTTAAAATTAATTTACAATTCACCAGCAGATTGTTATTCCACAGGGATAGCAAACAGGCCGGGGATTTAAGGTTGTAGCAGCCACATGGGATAGATTCACTTTAAAAAATCATTGCTTTGCTTGGGTGTTTTTGTTTTTGTTTTTGTCATTAATCTACAAATCAGGTTCTTTGTGTCTGTCCCCGTTTAGTGAGCCCCTCCCTGTCTAACCCCCTCACCAAAAACCCTACCAGACAGACTTTTTTTCTCCTTCTCTTATAGATCTGTCCCCATACCTTGCCTTGCTTAGCTTTCCTTCATAACCCAGCTCACCCAGTGTCGATTGGATCGATAGCACTTTACCCTGAGGTTTCTGTGACCCATTTAATCCCAGATCTTTTCTGGGCCAGTGGAAGCCGTCTGGTGTTTCCATGCCCACAGGCCTCTTGTCTTTTGTTCCCATGGGTACTATCAATGCCCAACATATTGTTTCTCCTCTTTAGAGTTTCTGCCACCAGAATCAGAATCCCCTCCATCCTTTGCCAGATCCCTATTTCAAGACAGTTCTCACCCTACTTTACCACCAACATCCTTGTGGGCCCCCAGTCTGATTCTGGACCTGAAACACTGAGCAAAGAAACTGGGACACACCCGGGAATTCCAAGTTCAGAGATCACTGGCACTGTGACACCTTTTTACCACTGAACGCCAGAACTATTGCCCCAGTTGGCCTTTTCCTCTTTCTCCCTCTTTATGTAGGGTATTGCCCTTTTTTTCCATTTTACTTTAATTTTTTCATTCTGAACCTAAGAAACACCAAATAAAATGAGCATTTCAATATCCACTGTGCAACAGAAGGAAAGGATTTTACATGAAATTGCAAATCTCTATGATGTGGATCCTGTTTTTCTTCTTAGATACATAATAAATTCAACATGTAGCTTTTAAAGATGTCCTGCTTGTCTGTGATTCCTTCTGGCCTTCCTTCTGTTCCCTACTCATTTTCAGGGGTAAGGGGGTGGGGAGGAGGCTATCCCTAACCCCCTTTCTCTCCCACCTCCCTGCCAATGGAAAAAAAAGAAACACAGAGTCCTTGTAACACATATGAATAGTGAAACAAAATAAATCCCTACCTTAGTCATGTCCAAAAGAGTATGTCTCATTCTACATCTTGAGTCTGTCACTGCCTCTTGTCAGGAGGTGGATAGTGTTGGTCCTCGGTGGTCCTCTGGAGTCGTCATCAGTCATTGCACTGAGCAGAGTTTTAAGTCTTTCAAAGCTGTTTGTCATTATAGTGTTGTCATTTTTGTATGAACTGTTCTCTTCTGTCTGCTGCCTTCACTCTGCATCGGTTCAATTCAGGCTTCTCAGAAACCACCAACCCTTTCATCATTTTTTTTTGATGTGCCATTATATTCATGGATTACATAATTTGTTCAGTCGAAGACATTAAAGGTACCCATTTAATTTGTGATTCTTTGCCACTACCGAAAAAGTAGCCATATTTTTTGTATTTTGGGAAGTATGATCTACTTTGTTCCTTCCTACCAGTGTGGCCTTCAGCAAGCTGACTTTTTTTCTCTGGCTCTCAGTTTTCTCATCTGTAAAATAGAATTTTGGACTAGAAGATCTCGGACATCCCTTGTACATCTCTGATTTTAAATTGAAATAAGTAGACGAGGTTCTGATCTTGGAAAGAGCATAGTCCTGTAAATCAAGAGATGTAGGTCCCAAACCCAGCCCTGTCATTTCCACGTCTATCTCAAAGCATTAGTTTTCTCATTTGTAAAATGTGGATAAGACCAGCTCTGCCTGCTCATGAGCCTATATTGGGCACTTTATAAAAATAAAGCACTCAGGAGCAGCTAGGTGGCTCAGTGGATAGAGCACCGGCCCTGGAGTCAGGAGGACCTGAGTTCAAATCCAGCCTCAAACCAAACACACTTACTAGCTGTGTGACCCTGGGCAAGTCACTTAACCCCAAATGCCTAAAAATAAATGAATGAATGAATGAATGAATAAATGAAGCACTTTCATGAAAGAGCATTTATTAAGCCCTTACTGTGTACTGGGCACTGTGCTAAATACAAGAGTTACAAATACAAGCCAACATTCCCAGCCCTCAAGGAGTAAGAATACTGTGATTAGAGGATGACAGCACATAGGAAGGAATTAAGAGGTGGGATGGGGCAGAAAAAAAGGATGCATGGAGCAGTGGCTAGGGATAGTGGATCTGGTCCAAGCTACAAATGGTGATTACTCATCAATCAGAAGCCAGAGTTCCAGGGAGGGAGCTCGAGTTCTGGCTCTGCATAGAAAGAGGACTTCAGGGAGTGTGGCTGGGAAGCAGCCATTATGTGGCTGTTATTTGTTATTATTTTTCACTTTAAATTGCTTTAAAAGCTTTCTGAAAGCCAAAGGCCTCAGAGTCAACCGAGCCAAGCTCAAAGCTGAGCTGGGTGTTGAGGAGCTTGGGTGAGCTCCAGAGAGCTGGACCCACATCCCAACATCTTTCACAGCTCCTGACACCCTGCCCAGCTCTCCTTCTCCAGCTGAGCAAGCTGGACACTGATTACTGCTAGGATTGACCCAGTCTTCCTCACTTTGTATGGACGCATAATGACAAGTTTAGACCATTTTTTTCTTTTCTTTCCCTTGTCTATAGAACGCAAAAGCAAGGCCTGACAATAGAAAGGCCATTCAACTGAGTTCAGTTTAGCTCTATGGTGATAATCACTTAATCCCCTAAAATGGCTACTATCACCCCAGCCATCTAGCATTGCTGTGACTATCCATAAGCATTAATGCTGGGGGTGGGGGGAGCCCTAAAATCTTCTCTTTTGAGGTTTGGGTTGTGAATAAAAATTAACTGTGCTGCAGGAGGTCATCTTGAGCCTTGTGGAATAGTGGTTGGTCCCTTACATTGATCGCAGTTACTAAGTCTTAAAAAGTTTTAATGCATGTATTGTAATCTGTTTGATTATTCCCAAATACTTTGTTTTAATAGAAATTTGTTTCTGTCATTGTTTATCAAACTACTGAATTACATATCATTAATTAGGAATAGGGCCTGGATCCAGGGTTGCACTGACATGAGTAACTCCAGGTAAGGAGACTTACCAATGGCAAGTCTTAGAAAGCTGCCCGGAGCCCTGAAGAGTGTTCAGTATTAGTTTGTATCCCTCATTGATCTGTTTGTTTTTTAAATAGACCTGGAAATTGAACAAAAATAGAATCAAAGGGCTGAATAGGAGCTTAAAGATCATTGAACCCAACCTCTTGATTTGACAAATGGGGAAACTAAGGCCCACAGAAGTGAAGGGACTTGCCCAGAGATCCTCAGAGGGTATGTAGGAGAGCTGGATTCGAAGGCAAATCCAGGGTCAGCCTTTGTTAGACCGTGTGCTTCGGGAAGCAGATCTTCAGGTCTCGAGCAGAGTCTTTTACTTTGTAGTCAGGAAGCGGGCTAGGGGACGGGGAGCTGCGGGCCCGCGGGCCTTCTCAGAGGCGGAAAAGTTCTCTATTTCTGCCTCTTGGATGATCAATTACACGCGCTTTGTGTGCATTTCATAAGCGGCACACGTGCACAGCATGCACGCCTCTATTATATACTGTGTGTTCATGGAAAAAACAACTGCTGAAAAGCCAAAATGCTTATTTTCATTAATAGGTGAAACTGACATTTGAAATGGCAAACTCTGGGCAAAAAGCAGCCATTCAACCCAAACAGAAGAAGCCCCAGACAACGGGTAACGATTTAGTCAGGCTCCTCTGGGGCGAAGAGGTCCAGAATCTTCAACAGAATCTCCAAAGCACCCCTCACATCATCATGTATCTCACCCTGCAACTGGACTCTGAGACATCGAAGGAAGAGGTAGGTGTTCTGGAGCAGGTCCCGGGGAGAAAATAATGAACCACCCAAGAGGCACTTTCCAGGGTGCAAGTTCGTAATCACTGGAAATAAATTCATTTTTTTAAATCACTTTCAGTAACAGAGCTGTAGGAGGAGGCAGAGAACTGTATCAGAACTCTATTTTCTTAATTGCATAAATAACCTTCTTAGTCTACTGGTTGTCTCATTGGAAGTCTGATTTTAGTGAACTCCTGCATGGAAGAGTCAGGGCCTGGTTAGCACTCAGCCCAGAGCCCCAAAGATGAACTCCTTTCAGAAGGAATAAATCTTCTGCCTTTATATTCTCATTTGGAGAAAATAGTTGGATTTTTTTCCTAGCTGATAATACATGGGGTGAAAACTAGCATGCAGCCTGTAAACCTAGAAAATGTACCCATTTGGGGACATATAATAAATGAAAATTAAGGAACATAGAGTCTATATGAACTTTCAAATCTTAAATTTCACAGTTAATTTAATGTCAGTGATCTGTTCGTTGTCTTCTTAATGAATAATGGTTAGATTGATTACTCATCTCTCTTTCAGTGACCCCTTAATACCAAAAGGTCAGAGATATGATAAATAATTTATAGATGATTTAGAAACCCCAAAGTATAAGAGAGCTCTTAATTCCTAAGAACAGTAATAAAATTTAAGTACTTAGGTTTCAAGGTGTCTTTGTTTCTGGTGAATAATTAGATAGTTCTGAGTTGTAATTATCTTTAGGGTGACATGAATTTTCTGGTGTTCTTTCTCTAGATTTAGTTGCCTAGGCAGCCTTTTAGCATGTCACATCTTACATCATTACTTCAAAGGGCCACAATTTCATTGGTATAGGAGTCCTTACCAACTCATATCACAGCTCTTCTGTGCCCTGGGGGATGATCGAATGAGTTACTGTGACCAAAAGAATTCATCACCTGGTTGCCAACCCTAGTAGTAAATCTCTCTGAACCAGGATAGTTAGGGTAGTGCTTGAAAGACAGTCCATTCCTGAGCCTGCGTTCAAATGGGTGCTCCATTTTCGTAGCCTTAAAAAACCTACAGTCCCCTTCAGCCAGAGTGAGGCATCAAAGGGGCTTCTAGGGTCCTACCTTACCAATGTAGCAGAGTAAAGACATAGTCAAGTGCCAACCCTATCTGCTTAGAGCATTAGCTAATAAAAATAAATTTCATCCTTCCAAGTAATTGATTTGCTTATAGTTTATTAAGTAATAGTATTGATTTTATAACTATTGAACAAATATCACAGATTTTATTTTTTCTTTGAAAGGCTATTTAGCAAACCACTAGTTTGAGTTCAGTGACACCTCTTTGCTTCTGCCAAATTGAGAGGCTGAGAGAGTACCTAATAAATGTTTCTTTGCCCGAAGTCTTGAGTTGATCAGAGGGAAGGGCTTCTTTTTGTCTGCTTTTTGTATCAAGATGAAGTTATTCACTGAAATGATAAAGGAGGGCTTTGTTCATATTTGTTTCTCACTGGTTTTTGTGTTCTGGGAATGAGAGGGCTTGAAGACCTTAGGTCCTCAGTTCTATCAATGTAGCCAAGGTGAACAGAGGCTTTCTAGCTAGGGTTGGCAAGCACAGCTTTAAACCTTCTAGCTCATTGGTAGGTAAAATGCGACCGGGATCTTTTGTCATTTTTGAATGTCTCTCCACGGGAAAGTCTGTAGATGTTTCCCAGAGGAATAGCATGAAGATTTCTGTTTGTAGATCAAGAAAAGATCCTTCTTGGCCCTGCCGCCGCAGCAAAGTTTAGTAGAGGCACATCTTCATTGTTGAGATTGGCAGATATAGAAAATCCACCGATTGTCACACTGCCAACAAGTGCTGCAAGACCCAGCTAATTAAATTGGCTGAGAGCTAACGATTTATAAAACTCGCCAAGTCTTGTAATAAGGAAACTTTTAATACATTTGAAAGAAGGAATTTCCCTAAAGGTCTTTGTTACCTTTGCTAAGCTTTGGCACGACTTATTTACTAAAGAATATACCAAGACCATTTTGGTTACTAACTAAAGTTTTCATAATACATTTGCTTTTTTAGTTTGGGATGCTTTGACCTCAGTTCTGCAGCAGGTGTTCCCCAGCACTAAGTTGAGGAGGGGGTAGCTTTCCTGTTCTGTTAGTTTTTAGCATTTTGGATGATGGTGGCACATCCTTCTTTCTTAGTCAAGTATTAGATGGGTGGCATTCATTCATGAAAAAGCAACTCACTTAAGATGGTTTATAATTCTCCTGGTTTAAATTCTAGAAGCATTCCAAGAGATCATTTATTAAGCGGGACTTGGTTATGTGCATCCAAAATATAACACATTGTGAGAATACTTAATACATGTTAGAAACAGATGGGTTTCAAATACATTATTATCTTTATAAATGTGTAAGAGCTGGCATGCCATGCATACAATGACATCTAGTTATTTGTAGTACATAGAGACCAAACCAAGAAATAGAAAGTCGGCGAAAACTGAAGGAAATTGTATGACTCTTTCAAAAGTTTATTTTGTTGTTTAATTATGTGGATTTGTGGATTTAGTAATGTTATTTAAGCTTTAGGTCGATATGAGAAGCAGTGTGATTGAGTGGTTGGAGAGCAGGCCTCAGAGCCAGGAAGACCTGGGTTCAGTCCTCCCTTGGGTGTACACTGGTGTGGGACCCTGGGCAAGTGACTTTCCCCTCAGTGTTCTAGACAACTCTTGGAGACTAGGAGTTGTAGAGAAGAAATCTGCCTTGGTAGGGGAAGTTTCCTCATCCGGGAGCTCCTTATAGCTAGAAAATCTCAAATCCAGTCCCTATAACTCTAAACATAAAAGGAGAAGTTCTGTCCCAGACTGAATTTTCCGTGGGTCTCTAAAAGGGTTTTATTTTGTTTTCCTTATTTTTAACTATTGTCATGATAGAAGAAAGTACTCTCCAGCTATGCCTACTCCCTCAGCCAGGATGCAACTGAAGCGACAAATGTGTGGCTTGTTGTTCCTTGGTTCTATGAAAAGTACTTGTGCTTTTGAAACACGTCAAGTGCTGTATCCCTGCTTTTACTAGTGATGAGAATAGGGATGACTCAGACTCTGTATCATTCTCAGGTGGGCAAACCACATTCCCACAACAACCAAGTAGTACAGGCATGATGATGCAGGACGTGGACTCCTGGACAGCGTGGACCACTTGTTTTTGGTCTTTGTATCCCCTTGCACAGTACTTGGCACACAGTAGACGCTTAATCAGTGCTTATTGAATTGTATTATCCCCATTTTACAAACAAAGAAACTGAGGCTCTCAAAGTTTTCATGACTTATCCATTGTCATATAACGAGTTAAGTGTTGGAGAAGGGATTTTGAACCCAGTTCTCCAGATTCTAGGTCTTTTGATACTGTGACATATTTGTGGTGTGCCTAAACTTCTCACATATAGCAACTAGGTGGTGCAGTTGTTAGAGCACTGGGCCTGGAGTCAGGGAAGCCCTGAGTTCAAATTTGGCCTCAGAATGATATCTGAGAGTTACATATGAAAATCCAAGTTGTTACCAGGAGTTCCAGCACATGGGGCAAAATTATTTGAGCTCTAAGAGAAAGGTGGCATCCAGGGCATGACTGTACCTTTCTATGGTTCTGGCATATTAGAGAATGAGGACGTGGAAGCTAAAGATGAAGACCTAGGAGGCAAGGCTATTTAGAGGGCTTCAAGGTGTGGGGGGAGGAAGGGGAGTAGAGTCGGACCTGTGGCTCCTCAGATGAGTACAACAGGGGTCTGGACAGGACGGAGTGGATTTAAAGAAATAGTGGTGGCTGAGTGAGGGTCACAGAGGAAGGGTCTGCAAATGACATTGGGGGGCGCCTATATGTCAAGGGTGTCACAGCCTTTGAAAGAGTGCCAAGGGATGTAGGGTCTTTAGGAGAAGAGCCGGGTTTCCATGAGCCCCAGAAGATGGAAGGAATGTGAAAGGAAGAAATCTAAAATCCTAAAATCATAGATTAAACATTGAAGGAACCAGAGAGGGCACGTAGCCAATGACAGGTGAAGACTCTGAGGCCCGGAAAGATCTCACAGGTCAGAGAATTGACAGAGCAAATATTAGGTCCTCTTATAATAAATCTGACAGTTTTTCCAGATTTTTATGCTACAACTGAGTGAAGTTCTTCACAGGCTGCAATAGAAAGGGAGAGCACAGGAGGATGGTGACTGGAGAAGGCTAGGGCTAAGTTTACTATGAGAGGAAGGAAGGAAAGCCTGGTGATAGTAATCACATCACCTTTGGTATTGATCTCAGCTGGAGGAGGGGTGGGACAGCTGTGTATCATACTGTCACGTTGAGGAGATGGCCACAGGACTCTGTGCTGTGGCAACCCCACGACCTGGTTAAGGAGTGGGCCATCCAGGGGGTTAGCATTGGAAGTAGGAAGTAGAAAGCATGCCCCTGGGTATATCAGCTTTTGGGACAAATCCCTGACTGCCCAAGATTAGTTCCAGCTCTATAAGAATGTGTGTATAAAGAAACAGAAGTAAAATTTTGGTCAAGAATGTTTTCTAGACTTGAAAAAGAGTTGGAAGTTTAATTTGAATTCTTACCATATAATATCACAAGTTAATGTATATGTCTCCACCATAATACGGTTTTGTTGCCTTAATTTGCAAGTAGATTTTTTTTGTGTTAGAAATACTCAAAGGATGCGTGATTTCATTGTGTGGATATTCCCCCCACCAGTCCTGATCTCAACTCTTCTAGAACTCAGTAGTGTTCATGAGGAATTGCTATGGCCCAAGACATCATTACCTTGTAGCCAACCTGCCAGTGGCAATCTCCTGAGGTAACCAAGGTGGTTCTCAGACAACACACACACACACACACACACACACACACACACACACACACACACACACACACATATCCATTCTCAAGATCTTCTAGATTAGATACCTGTCCTAGCCTTTGAGAACCCAAGTGTTGAGTGAAACATACTAGAAAACAAAGATCGTATTTCCAAGTCTGAATCTGTTTGACATGAATAAAAACAGTTATTGGCATTAAGTAACAGTTTGGCTGTTTTGTATGGGACTATTAAAATTATGAAGTTTCCAAGTTGGAAATAATGGCTTAGCAATTTTGAGTATCACTGATTATGTCTTTAATTGTTGTCAATTAAACAGCAGGAAATTCTTTACTATTACCCAATGTCTGAAGCATCTCAGAAACTTAAAAGTGTAAGAGGAATATTTCTAACCCTCTGTGACATGCTGGAAAATGTAGCTGGGACACATGTTACCAGGTAATAACTGATTTTTATTTAACTGTAATTTTTTTCTGCTTTGCAAATTGTCTTTTTTAGTGTTGATGAGAGAAAAACGCCAATAAAGGAACAATCACATTGGCACAAATACCCAAAAGTGTCTTTTCATCTAAGTAGCTTTCATTGATAAGGCCTTTTTAAAACTAGGCTCGTGAGATTTATAACCAAAAAGAACCATCTTCATTTTTCAGAGAAAAAAACTGAAGATGACTTGTCCAATTTAAACCCAGGTTTTCTCCACTATTTCCAGTTCATCTAAATCCAGGATTTTTCAGATTCATCACATTAGAATCATAGGATTTTGCATTTATCAGGACTTACAAAGTCACCTGAACCAAGCTCCTCATTTCAGACCTAAAGAATTTAAGTGATTTGACAGCGTTCACATAAGTAGTAAACATCAAAGGTGAGATTCAAACCCAAGCCCCCTGACTCCAGATCCAGGACTTTCTACTTGCTGCACACACTCACTCTTCACACTTCCTGGACACACCCCGCAGGCCACTCTGAACTAGCCAGTCCTCTCTCTACACAGCTGCCTTACTGATATTCCTAAAGCACAGGTCTGCTATCTTTCCTCTTCAGAAGCTCCCATGACTACTATTGCCTTTAGGATGACATACAACTCCTCTGTTAGGTCTGAGGGGTCTGGAAGTCCACCTCCTGGCATTCATGAGTGGAAAGGTGTATGTTCCTGGCCAGGAGTCTGCTGTGTCACAGGTCGGAGTTGGGAACAAGCCTGACACTCAATGGACCATTATTGACTCTTAAGAAGTGATGAAAGGGGTGGTTCAGAGAAACCCAAAAAGATTATATGAACTGATGCAGTGAAGTGAACCAGAAGAACAGTTTATATATTGAATACAATATTATAAATTTTCATTTTATTTTTTAATTAAGAAGCTTTTTTTCTTTCTCTCCAACTCTACCAGTTTAAAAGAAAAACAAAATCCTCATAATCTATGAATAGTGAAACAAAACTAATTCCTACATTGTCTATATTCCAAAATGTATGTCTCATTTTGCCTTTTGAATCCATCACCTCTCTGAATGGCCACAATGTTGTAAAGACTTTAAGAAATCAGATCATTTCAGTTACCACATATGACCCCAGAAGACTGTATGTTAAAATCATACTTTCCACCTCTTATCAGAGAGATAATGGCCCAGGGGTGGCAGAATGGGTCATACATCTACAAGCATGACCCATGTATCTCTTTGTATTCCTTAATTAGACTTTTATTTTTTTTACAAGGAAGGGCATCTGGGGACAGAGGGTGGGGAGGCAGTAGTCAATGGCTGGGGAAATAGAAGAGTTAACATAGTGATACCAAAAAAAAAAAAAGGAAAATAACATTATTGAAACACCTTAAAAAACACAGAAGAAAATAGTAGGAAGTGCAGAAGGGAACACAGACAAACAAGCAGGACAGTGTTGCTATTGCTGTGTTAAATATAATACATAATTTTCTAGGGGCAGCCAGGTGGCACAGTGGAGTTGGGTCTGGAGTCAGGAAAACTTGAGTTCAAATCTGGCCTCAGACACTTACTAGCTGTGTGCCATGGTGCAAGTCACTGAACCTTATCTGTAAAATGGGAATGATAAGAACACCTACCTCTCAGGGTTCTTGTGAGGATCAAATGCGATACCATCGTAAAGCATTTAGCACATAGTAAGTGCGATATAAATGTTAGCAATCATCATTGTTATTAAAAGTTGTGCATCACAGAGGTACATTATTTTATATAAAAGCTTCTTTTTCAATTATTTTCTTAAATATGGGAATGTTTACACTTGTTGAAGGTTGTCAGGTTCATAATAAAAAAGAAAACTTAATTTTTTATGAAGTTATGTTGACCTCAAGCCTTTGAGTTTATCATGAGAATATTAGGTCATTGCTTGGGAAGCATAACTTGGGCATTATTCTGTTTCTGTGGCTCCTCATCTCTATGGGGGACCACTGTCTCTTGCTCTCATTAAGAACAGAAATCATTTTTAAATTGTCTGTATCATTCTTTAGGACCTAGAAAAAGTATTAGTATTAGTCTTATTTTAAGTTCTTGGTCTGGCCGTCTCATGCCATCATCCCCGTATCCCCCACTAAAATCTTGGCTCTGCCACTGGAAGGCCAGGCTCCTGTAGGTGAAGTTTTTTCCTTTTCTTCCCAGGACCATGCCTCCCTGCCACTTCCTAGGTAATGCTGGTGCGTGCCACTGTGTGGCGCATATTCCCTTCTCCCCATTCTAGTCTCCTTGTGCGTTGTCTTGCCACGTTCAAATACAAGTTCCCAGAGGGCAGAAATTGTCTTGTTTGTATTAGAGCTCAGGGCTCAGCACAGTGCCTGCTCTTAGGAATGCTTTCTCTCTCCACCTACCGTCCCTTCAGGCCACATCTCCCCTCCCTTTCAGAGCCACTAAAAGCTTTCCACACAGATAGGCTCTTTTGTTTCATCTCACACTAACTCATGAACCCCTTGAAGCCTCCCTTTTGATCTCACACCTCAACTGAAACGATCCACTCCAAGCTTAGGTTACTAAGGAAGTATGCATTTCTGGTGCTGGGCAGGTGCTTAGTAAATGCTTAATTGAACTGAGTCTTACAAGGGGAAAAACATGCAGTATAAGCAGCTAAGTGTGAGGCCTTGTGTCAGGCATCGAGGATGAGACAAAAGTTAAACAGTCCCTGCCCTCGAGGAACTTACAAAACACCAATAAGTAGATCTGAAGTCTGTAGAAGTAAGATAAAGTAATCTCAGAGCCAACAAGAAAGTCTTAATACCTGGGAGGAATCAGGAAAGGGCTCATGAGGGAGGCTTCAAAGGAAGGCGAGGGTCCTTGAGGCAGGGGGAGGAGTGTTTGCATTCCAGACGGGAGGTAACCCTTTTGCAGTGTCCTGTAGGTAAGAGATAGCAATTCATTTATATGGAGGCAGGGGAGGGGCCGTGAGGTGGTGGTCTTTGATGCCCACTTTTCTGGGGCCCAGATCTTCTTCAGTGTTGTGAGAAAACAAGTTGTTGAGGGTTCTGACACTGCAGTGGCTCATAGAAAGCCTGTCCTTTGCTCCCTGGTATCGCTTGCTAAGAAGAAGGCGTGCAGAAAGTATGCTCGGTTTTCTGTTGCCAGTTTGCTTCTGAGATGAAGAGAAGAGGAAAGAAAGAAGGTACTTTTCTCTGTTGTGGCTGAGAAGTGGAGAAGAAGAAAAATCCTGCCAAAGGAGCAGAATTAGAGAGGCTTTTGCTGGTATCAGGATGAGAGTTGCTGCCTTTCCTTCAAAGTTCATGACACCGTTTCAGCTGAAGGCGTCATCCAAGTTGGAAGCCAGTAGTGATGGGCGTAGAGTTGCTGTCCAGGAGCAAGCCCAGCTGAGAAGTGGAGCAGCATAAAAGCAGAGCATCAGAGAAGCCTCACACCAGCAGATCAATGCCTCCAGCTAAAATGCCATGTGTGGCAAAGTGTTATAGGCCAGCACAACACAAATCATCTCCCAGTCCCCCCATTAGAATGTAAGCTCATCGCAAGTGTGCGTTATTTCATTCGTTGTACTTGTATCTCCAGTACTCTGGCAATAGGAAGTGCTTAATAAATACTTGGTAATTGATTGATTGATCTCAGCTTAGCAATAGAAGCATTTGTTCACACAGAAGCTGGTCTCATCAAGGAACTCTTACGGACCATTCCTTAGACAGAGATGACAGTGAGGTCCACCGTGCCAAAGTTGTGAGTTGTCCTGGCCACGTGTGTGACTTACTACACTAGGACTGTTCAGCGTAATAACCACCCTCCCCATGGACACACTGCACATTGGAGAGGGAGTGTGATTCAGGTTTATTGGTAGAATTTTATAGAAATGTTACGTGTTATTTGGTGGCTGTTTTTTGGTTACTTTTTTTGCTGTTGTTACCATTAATTATTAGTGAGAGCTCTATTCATGGGAACTACGCTGGTGGGGGCTCATAAACTACTGTGTTAGTAGGAATAGTTACCCACAGAGTTGAGCCCTAGGACCTTGAAAGTATTGAGTACAGCAGCCATCCTCCCTTTAGGAAAGCCTCAACTTGCCAATACAGCAACACGTCAGAGGGAAGTGAGACACAGAGTGAGTTCCTATGGTCGGGGGTGGTGGGGGAAGAGCCTTCAACCACTAATTGCAGGTTAGCTCTTAGTCGGTACCATATACAACAAATATCTAGCAGGTCAGTTTGACTAGAACTGAGAGTGTATAAAGGGAAATCATGAAATGAGACTGGAAAAGATAAATGCGAGCAGATTGCAATAGGATTTATATGCTAGCCTAAAGATTTTGTATTTCATCCTTAATGCAGTGTAGAGCCACTGCATTTTCGTGGAGGGAGGGAGAAGTGTTCAGCTCTGTGTTTTCGCGGCTGGGTGGAGGAGAGATTGGAGAAGAGAGAGACCAGATGCAGGAAAAAGTAATCACAAAGCTATTGCAGGTGTCCCAGCAAGAGGTTCTGAGGGCCTGAACAAGAGTAAAGGCTGCACGTGAGCTGAGAAAGGGGAGATGGGAGATGCCGGGGAGCTGCGATAAATAGAACTTGTAGCTGAGGGGCATTAGGGGGAACAGGGGAGAGGAAGCACCAAGGAGAGGGCCCCCAGGCTTTGAACCCTGAGACCCAGAGCAACAGTAACGTCCTCAGTACCAGAGCGTGACTGTACACTACAAAGCCCAAGGATCCCAAAACCGGACATCACAGAGAGGCCGTGTTATTCATTAATTCCAGATTATGTGAAAGCACACACCCATCTGTCTGCAGTGATTGCCTTCTCTGGACTTTGGTTTCCAAAAACCCAAAATGAGGGAGTTAATCTCTAAAGTCCCTGCTAGCTGGAAATCCTGCAGACCTTAATCCAGTCTTCTGTACCCAAGAGAGGTTCAGTACATATGATCTGATATTCCTATTGAGTTGTAAGGTTAATTATGCCATGCATTATTTATTTATTTCTGACCGAGAGCATTCAAACATTTTAATATTGTTAACTGGTCTGAAAACTCTTTGTATAGAAATGTTTTATGTAAATACTTAACAGAAAACTTCCATTGTGCATCAACATATTCTTGGCCACTGACTGATATTAAAATATATTTCTGGAAAACTTATAACGTCTTTACATACATATTTTGTTCACATATAATGTCTCACCTCTCCTGTATCACACTCATATTTCAGGGAATCAGCTCATTAAGTATTTAATCCACAAAACATACCTTATATAGTATTATATGAGTAAGACCACTTGTTTGTCATTTCATAATCTTTGCAAATATGCTGACCTTCTGACTTAATTTTTCTAGCTCATCACTTTCTTTAAATGAAAAATTAGTACATGTGGCTTACTGGAAAGAAGATGACAAATTGTTATTAATTGGACTTCCTGCTGAAGAGTAAGTTGAATGATTTTTTTTTTCATTTATGCTTTGAAATCAGTCATATAACACACTTTTCAAAAGGTACATTTTATTTAAAATATTCAGTGTTTAAAGCTAACTGCTTGGTGTTCAAAGGTATTGTACAGATAGCAGAAAGGCCATGATTGCATTTGGTTTTGTTAGAATATACTAGGTGTACCCCTGGTAAGCAAATCCATGTCTTAGTTATTAAGCCTGTCAAGATTTGCTTCTTCAAAGATAACCGCATTTCAGAAATTTGCCCAGCAGCACCCAGGATCCCTTCTGATACTTTCGTCAGACATTGTTATGTGAATTCAGCATTTTGACAAGTCCTAATTCCACTGTGCATTCTCCTACAATTCTTTCCTCTTTAAATTCTCTTCTGTATTTAGGAGTAAAGTGCAGAGTCCATATCATGTTATATTGGCCTTCAGCATCTTCAAAGGATAAAGAGAATATGGTGACCCCTTCTGAAGAGAGTGGCAGCCTCAAGTTTGGCATTATGGGGAAATGAATGAATGAATGAAATGACTAAAAGAAAGGAAAACATTTAGTAGACACTTACTTTATGTCAAGCACTTTACCAAGTGCTGAAGATACAAATAGAAAAATCAAGACAGCCCCTGCTTTCCAGGAGTTTACACTCGAATTTGAAAATACAACACATGAAAGAAAGTTCAGCTTGTAGGCAGATGGAAACATCTGGGAGTCCTACGGGTTTGACTTCAGGGTGGATGGCAAGGCCTCAGGGTGCTGAGGTTACATTAGCTGGCCAGATGATGGTGCTGAGAGTTCTAGAGGGAACAGAGGCAAGGTGGGCCTCCATCTCCCCAGAACTCCCATGTCATCCAAGCAGTAGGGGGAGTTCAGCACCCTGGAGAAGGACAGAAGGCTGGGAGAGTGAACACAGATAGCTCTTCCCACCTCCTGGCCATCCCTGGTAGGTTCTGGTTGGTGAAACTGTGAAGAAGCAAATTGCTTTTTAGTGAGATTGTGGGTTCAGAGAGAACTGAATGAACCCCAGAAAGAGTGGGTCCAGAATGAATGGACTGGAGTTAAGAAGAACCAATGGCAGAAAGAGAAGAGATAAAGCAGATTCTAGAGGAAGGAAATGTTTCGAGAGCAGATCTTAGAGGAGGAGGGTTGAGCTCAGATCCTCAGGGTCTCTGTGTACCAAGCAAAAGCCAGGTTGGTGGTCAGCCGGCTGCAGCCCACACTGATTAAGCGTATGCTTCCTGCAGAGATCTGGGCAGGGTCCTGAGGGAGAAGCAAAGATTACATCAGATGTGGACCTGCCCTGATGGAGCTCACAGTCATGCCAAATGCAAATAACAGCAGGAAGGAGTGAAAGGGAGTGGTCCTCCAGCTTAGACATATAAAGATCCTGCTCCCCCAGGAACCAAAGGAGCTGAAAGAAAAAATGAGCCGAGAACCTGTGGGAGAGGGAGGAGGGGCATAGGGAAGGAAGTGTGAGATGGATCAGCCAGAACAGTCTCTGAGGATGGGCCCTGCAAACAGAGGAAGGGAATATTGCAGTATTTCATGCTCCCTGTTCCCCGTCTTGGCCACATAGCACCAGAGAAATTTTATCCCAGGGTCAGGAACTTTTTCCAGAAGGGGCCAGATAGTAAATATTGTAGGCTTTGTGGGCCAAGAGGCAAAACTGATTATGTTGGATAGTACTTATACAACAAGGAAGAAAATTTCCATAATGTTTTTTGCTGGTAAGATTAAAATATAATAATTGAGTACATTTTTAATATAGGTCTATTCATTAGAAGAGTGAAATTCTCTTCTTGGTGACATTTTGATTAATTGGGGTTCAAAGTTAGAGTTCCCTATCATCAAAATGGATTGCAAATATCGTTCTGATCTGTAATGAGATTTTATGCATTTCGTCTTTGAAAGTGACTTTTCTTACAGATGGGTACTGCCAAAATCATATGTCCCAAAGCATATGATGTTAATTGAGTGTATTCATCACTTAGAAAAGGAATTTAGAAAATTCTGTCAGATTCTTCTCTTGATATTTTCTTTAGGTTCCCCAACTGCACAGTTAAATAAAAGAATTTTGAAATAGGAACATTTCTTTAGCATTAGCATTGAGTTCTGAAAATGTGCTGCTGGAACTGTAGTTTGAGCCCAGAAAATAGATGCACTATAAATTTGTGTGGGAATAAAGTTCTCACTTCCAATTTAAATTTTTGACAACACGGGAAGTGTATCAAGCAGCTTGACATTACTCACAATCCAAATAATGTTAGTTGTCATTGAATTGACTTTGCCACAGTATATTTTACATGTAAGCATGGTTTGCCTTATAATTTTGGTTTGAATTCATTAAGAAACATCAGGTCTGCAGCAAAAGCTAATTTCCAAATCCATTCATTGTTGGATAGTAGTGGTTGAGAGTGGTTCTTCTCATTCAGAAAAACTCGAATCTCAGCCCAGAGCTCAAAAAATTGTAATGAAAGGGGTTTTTCCTCTTCTTGTTTTGACATGGTGGGTATGCACTGGCAGTAAAAAAAAAAATAATAATATATATATATATATATAAAATGTCAGGTATGGTACAGCATTCAAAATGCTGTTGAGTCTAAAACTGCCTCACTGCAACGTGTAGTGCATAGGCTGCTATGGAAAGTGATGGAAGCAGCACCATGGTTTCTGTCACGATTGTGGCATGAAAGTAGCCATGGAGAGCACACAAACTGTGTTTACACAGCTGTGTTCCAACAAAAACTTTGTTTTTGTGTAAAAAACATTCTTCATTCCCTGGCTATCCAAAAACAGGTCCCAATTTGGCCCATGCGCCATAGTTTGCCAACTCCTGCTCTAGCCAAAGAGATAAACAATCTTTATCACTAAATGATGTCTCCGTCTGATGGTCCTCCTCTCCACCTCAACCCCAGATTTACTGGCTTAGACCCTCCAGAAGGACATTATACATGCCCTTTACTCCCACCCCAAGCCCAAAACCTATAGCAAATGCTAATCAGCTAGCTGCTGATTAAGAACCTGGTGGGGAGGGTGGGGCTTCTCTTTAGGGGTTCCCCCATTCCATCACAGATATGAGGTCAAATGAGACCTAGTACACATGGATCGTCCATTAGTTCTGGGCTTCCTTTGCCATCCTTCCCCATGCCTATCCCAGTGACACTAGGATTTGATTTCTGGCCCAAGTACCAGACAGGAACCCAGAATGCTCATTTATCCTGGAATTGGGCAATAAGACATTGGGAACCATCTCCAGTCATCCTAATCTGTATCTTGCTACTGGACCCAGATGGCTCCAGAGGAGAAAGTGAGGCTGGTACCTTGCACAGTCCTCCCTCACTTAAATCCAGTTCATTTTGCAGGTCATGGCATCATCTTCCTGATGTCATGGTCCTCTTCAGGAAAGAAGGACAAACAACAACAATAAAACATTACTTACTAAAACAGTATTAAAACAAAATTTGAAACAGAGGCACCGTCTATAGCAACACTATCTAGCATTAAATAAAACTGTGCGTGTCTGTTATCTAAAATTTAAATCAATTTTGCTTCCTTTTGATGTCAGTATTTTGCTGTTTTACCAATGTGGTTGTGAGTTAATAGATACTGTTTTCTTTTCTAGAGTTCCCCTTCCTCAGCTAAGGAATATGATAGAAGATGTTGCCCAAACCTTAAAGTTTATGTATGGTTCTTTAAATAGGTAAATATTGTATGTGTTGAATAATTAATTTTGTGACATTTTACCAAACTACTCTATGCCTTGAGAGGCAACAAGGTATATTGGAGATAACACCGGAATTATATCACTAATCTTACCATCCTTCCTTGTTTCTACCTGTAGTTGAATCATTTCTACTCCCACCCCTCATGCCAAAATTGTTATTATTATCAATATTTACCTTCACTAGGAGAAAAAAAAATCTCACTTCTATTCTTAATTTCTAAAAAGAAAGAAAAAAGGGGGTTTAAAAATTTTCCTTTACTCTAGAGCAGGGATCTTTTTGCTGTCATGGACTCCTTTGGCAGTCTGGTGAAGCTTGTGGACTTCATCTTGGAATATTGTTTCTAAATGCACAAAATAAAATAGGATTACAAAGGAAACTGATTATATTGAAATATAGTTATCTGAAATTTTTTTTAAGTTCATGGTCCCCAGGTTACTAGACTGCCCTTGTGCTTTGACCCTGGGATACCACTCTACACCCAAAGAAATCAAAGAAAGAGGAAAAGGTCCTCTATGTAGTGATGCAGCTGATGTATTAGTGAAGAGACCACTGGAATCAGGAAGTCCCGTGCTCAAATTCAGCCTCACATGCTTACTAGGGACAAGTCACTTAACCTCTGTTTGCCCCAGTCTCCTCACCTGTAATGGGGATAATAACAACACCTACCTTGCAGGGTTATTGCAAAGATCAAATGAGATCATTATTGTAAAGTACTTAGCCCGGGGCCTGGTACATAATAGGCATTTAATAAATGCTTATTCCTTCCCTCCCCCCTGCTTTTCAACATCATGCATTTTTAGACCCATGAATACGAAAGAAAGACATTTCCAACCCCTGTGTCTACATCCTTTGACCGTGATATAATGGTAGCCTTCATAATGTGAGCCTTCCAACAGAATTTTATACTGGCCTTTTACAAAGGGGATGGTGGAGAGTGCATGTGTTCCCTCCCCACCGCTCAGGGAAGACCAAAGGCTGTGTGTATTATAGGGGGAAATTCAAAGGAGAGGTTACAGCCAATGACTTCAGTGTCATGTAGCGATGATGTTGTTCTGACTTCACGTTCACATTTCTGCAGCACGTTCTGCGAGGTGGAGAACGCCACTCGGTTGGACCATTTTTTCAACTTGTTCTTCCAAAGAGCAATTCAGCCTGAAAAGCTTTACTCCAGGACCAGCCCTCAGCCCTGCGATGCCTCCAGCTCACTGTTCATCGACACTCTCCCCGGTGTTCAGTGGCTCACACTTCCCCAAGAAACCCAGGTAACCCTGAGCTCCCCAAATAGACAAGAATGGCTTTCTTCACAAGTCCATTTTCTGTCTTCAGTCGGTTATGGGTTTGGAGGTGAGGTCAGTCAGCCAGCCAGGGAGCATTTCTTAAGTACCTCCTCTGTGCTGGACGCTGAGCTGGGAGCTGGGAATATTAGTTCAAGGAAAGAAGCAATCCTTTCTTGAAAGAAGCTGACATTCCGTTGGGGGAAAAGGAATAAATGAATAAAAGAGACATCTATTGAAGAAAGACAATAATGCTGTTTTTATAAAGAGAAACTAACTCTGGTTTTATCATTCTAAATTGTCATTTTTTAAATTAAAATGACTTTTTAAAGTGAGGTAATATTTCTGTTCGTGCAGAATACGTTACGGGGGAGCAAAGCACCCAGGAGTTTGGGGTTTTATGATGTATTGTGCTGTTGGATTAGGCTTAAATAGGAAAGGAAGATGGCCTGAAGAGGAAGGTCTTTACTGAAAGTACCAACTTAGCCAAGAAGAAGAAGGAAATGAAACAGGACACGTTTTATTTAGTTTAAGATGTTCAGTGCAAGCCTTTGCCATCCTGTTCTAATCAGTGGGGTTTGTTAATGGCCTTTCTTTTGAAGGGGCTTGTTTCCTGGTGTCCATCTAAGTGATAGGCACCTATGTGCCTTGGACCCTGTTCTTTCACCCCCAGATGACCAGAATGTTGTAGGACTGATAACAGGAGGCCCAGTCACCTTAGTCCTGACACGTCACCACAAAGTCTATCTCTCCTGAAGACAGCCACCATTCCATGACCCTGGGTCTGGGTGAAAGCCTCCACCCTAAAACTCAGAGCTCAGTTCTGCTCTTCATAGACTGCGGCTTCATTTGTTTGAGTCAATACCTAGTTACCCTCTACAAGCAGCGCCACTCAGTGCCAGACTAACTGACTTTCTTAAATTTAACAAATTCATCTCAGCGTTTCATCTTTATATGTTTTACTGGTCTGTCCCTACAAGAGGACGTAACTTTTCATACTTTGAGGGCCATGTATCAACAGGGCCAGACATTGAGAGTACCTGAAGTTCAACTATGTGTCTCGCTGTATCACGGAACTCACGTCTACAAGACACCTAGGCTCTTTTATCCCTGTTAGATCTGACTGTAGCAAAAATTACTGACCGTGCCATATGCTCAGCACTGTATCAGAAGCCAACGGGAACAGAAATATAAGGAACAAGCCTTACCCTTTAGAAGCTTCCAGGTCTGGTGAGGGAGGCAAGATAATGCATCAGAAAAAAAAATGTTAGCTAGGTGGTACAGCAGATGAACCCTGGATGCAAGGAGGCCTCAGACCCTTACAATCTGTATGACCCCAGTGGGCCTCAGTTTCCCCATCTCTAAGATGAAGGGGTTGGACCTAATTGGCTTCTAAGATCCCTTCCAGCTCCGATCTCTTCACAAATTGTATCACTAGTGATCAGCACAGTGCCTGGCACATCACACATAGATGCTTAATAAATGTTTATTGGATTGAATTGATCCTATGGCAAATAATAAAGAGGGCAAAGTCTTCAATTGTGTGATGGACTGTTGGAGTATAAAATAGGGAGGAATAAATAAGTATAGCAATTTCTTTTTTTAAAGAGTGACTCTTATTTATTGCGGACAGGATGTTCTGAAATTCCCCATGAGGAAGTTAAAAGCTGAAAGACGTGGACAGACCTGCCCCTGATTCTTGTTGATTTATTTAATTTTACGCCACAGTCCTACAGCACCTTTTATGTCTTCTCCCTCTGGCTGTGTTCCAGGTAGCAGGGGTGTACTGGCTCTACGTCTTCTTATTTAAAAAGAGCACTTCTGGATAGATGCTTGCGCTCATGTGCTGTCTGGCCCCAGATAACCTGGGGTCTAACCTTTAGACCCGTTACGCTCACAGGATGAGGGGCACATGGGTGCTTTTCACAAATCCTTTAGAGGTTTTACTTTGATTTTTATTTTTCTTGGGTTACACTGGAGTAGGTAAGAGAAGAAACAATAACGTTACATTTTTTTTCTTAAAGGGTATTGGGGCCAACCAGAGAAATACTGGGGCATTAAGTGTCATGTTTCAGTTGTGGGGGCAGCACACCTACTGGCCAGTGTCTGAAACTGGGAATCTCCTTCACAAAACACACACATACACACACACACAAGAAGCTACAGAGTCTGCGTTAGATGGTGAAAAAGATGGGTCATCAATGAGTATGGACACGTTAAGAGGCATGACTAATGTTCCAGAAGGTTCCATCATCTTGAACAACACTGTGTTTCCCCCAGCCCTGTAGGGAATGTCTTGGCTTTTAAAAAAAAAAAAATGTTGCCTCCCAATGAGCAGCACATTTGTCAACCCACCTCAGCCCCAGCCTCCCAGCCAGTTTAAATTTATGTAACAAAAACAAAACTCCTCCTGAACTCTCCTTACAGTTTGGCTACCTCTGAGAGTGAGTCAGATACTCTAGGACATTTCTATAGCAACAGAACCGAAATCCTCCATGATGGCAGAGTTCCCAATGGTTCAGTCAGGTAATCGTCCTGTGCCAGATCGCAGAGGGGCTTCATTCTCTTCTTCATCCATTCAGGCAGTCAGATCATCACGGTTTTTGTACAAAATGCTGTGCTGAAGGGGCAGGCAAGGAGAACGTTCGTACTTTACCAAAGCAAAAAATCTGAACTATGGAGAGCTACGTGGAAATTTTTAAAGTTGTTGTACTGTGAGGACATTCAGATTGAATGGTTGTTTGCTCTTAAGGACATTGTTTAAATGTTTAAAAAATTGGTTTATTTAGAACTCCAGGAGCAATAGAATTGCTCCATGAGCAAGTTACGCTGCTTTGCATTGAGTACAGGTTGAAACCTCCTTCTCCTAATTAGTGTTTTATTGATGGAGCCTGTATTTCAAAGTCTTCCCAGTAATTGTTTTGTAATTGCAAAAAGAAAAAGGGTGTAGTATTTCTTAACAAGTAACTGAGAGGGAGAAATACCAATTCATTCTGATTAGTACATAGAGATTACCTACCTCCTTAGCAGTTTGCCAGTGAATGTATTCGTCATAATTTTGGATTCTGTTTGTGTTACATTCTTTTCTTAGATGGAAATCGACATGGCATTAAATGATTTGGAGGCGGCAGACTTTGCAGAACTGGTGAGAGAGGAAAGTTTTAGATGCGGCTTAATGCTGATGACTGATTTGATGGGATTTTAAAATTTGTATTATGTTTTTTCCAATTAATGAAAACCCACCTTTTCCCCCTCCCACTTCCCCCATCCCCACTGAAAAAGAAAGAGAAACAAAGCCCTTATAACAAATATATGTATATATTTGTGTACATAAATACGTACATTTTCAAGCAAAACAAATTCCCGCATTGACTATATCCTGTGTATGTGTGTGTGTGTGTGTGTGTGACTCAGCAACCACAAATAATCTAGATGGAGGGCAGCAGGACACGGACACACACACACACACACACACACACACACATACACATGTATATGCATACATGGTCATATATACATACGAGTGTGTGTGTGTCTACGTGTCTACCCTGAGTCCCTCGCCTCTCTGCTAAGAGGTGGGATTCATGTTTCACCTTGAATCTTCTGGAATCATGGCTGGTCCCTGCATCAATCTTTAGTCTTTCAGAATTATCTGTCTTTACAAGACTGTTGTTACTGTATAAGTTGTTCCTGGTTCTGCTTACTTCCCTCTACATCAGTTCACACAAGTCTTCCCAGGTTTCTCTGAAGCCACCCCCTTTATCATCTCTGTCATATTCAGAGAAAGGACGATGAGTCCTGACTGCAGGCCTGGCTCTCTGTCCTGTCCTTTAGCCACGTAGCCATTGGAGAATGGCTCTTTCTCTTAAGAATTTGCTTCTCTGGTTTAGAAATTAGACCTTTATAAAAGAAATGTGCTCCAAAGATTTTTCCCATTTTGAAGACTGGCTTTGAAATGTTTGATGTCTTCCTCCTCCAGGCAGGCCCAGACAGAGGCAGGGTCTGACGCCTTCGAGGGGGTGGACAGGCTTTGGGGAGTGCTGGTGGAGTGCCTGCAGCTGGGGCGGGAGGGCGGCTCCCTTCAGGCCCAGAGCCCACGCTCTCAGCCTGCTTGCCAGGGCATGAAGGCTGGCGAGGCAGATCTGCTGAGGAGTGCCATGAGAATGGGAGCTCTTCAGGGCTAATCCACAAGGGATTTTCTTGTCCCGGCTAACAGTTATCTAGCGCTCCTCAGGGGAGCCTCACAACAGCCCTGTGAGGCAGTGAGATCATCCTCTTATTTCCATTTTCAGCTGAGGAAGATGAGCCTGAGTGAGGCTGAGTGACTTGCCCAGGGTCACACATCTCATAATTGACTGAGGCAGGATTTGAACCCAGGTGCTGTGTCTCCAAAACAGCCATCTCTCTACAGCCCCACAGATGAGCTCTGGGGCAATCAGGTGGGCACCTCGTGGGACATTTCAGCCTGATGTGAACATCAAGTCACCTCCATAATTTTAAGATGGCTTTCTTAAATAGCTATGTAACAGAGGGAAAGGGGAAGCCCTTTCTCTCTCACATCGATTAAGTACTTAGTCTAGGTGGCACAGTGGTTAGAGCACTGGGCCTGGAATTAGGAGAACCTAAATTCAAATACAGTCTCAGACACTAGCTGTGTGACCCTGGACAAGTCACTTCACCTTGTTTGCCTCAGTTTCCCCAAAATGAGCTGGAGAAGGGAATGGCAAACCACTCCAGTACCTTTGCCAAGAAAACCCCAAATGGGGTCATGGAGTGTCAGACATGACTAATCGACTCAGCAACCATGAATAATCTAGACAGAAGGCAGCAGGACAGAAGGAGACAGTGGGTAGAAAGCTGGCCTCACAGTCAGCAGGAGCAGGGTTCAAATCCTGCTTCTGACATTCGTCACTCCCTCTGTCCCTGGGCAGCTTGCTGAGACTTAAGACTGCTTTGGTGGAGACAGGGTCCTCACCCAGCATTCCCTGAAGAGACCCATGAAATCAGTAGAGGGTGCTGAGCATTTGAGGGCCACAGATAAAGCACAATTCTCCTTCACGGCACTAAGACACCTATCGAGAGGAGAAGCTGTGTGCAAAAATCCAGTCAGTCTAAATTAGAACCTGTTAAGTGCCTTGGAGAAGGACAAGGCCTCTGAGGTCAGACGGGGTCATTCCCTGCTTTCTCAAGGGGTTCAGCATCTGGCTTATGGTCTTCCCCTCGTCCCCATCTCCTACCTTCACAGATCTAGTCGATGTCCCCTCATACCCCCTGGCCTCCCGGTCCCTCAGGTTCCTCAGACCCCATGTCCTGCTCCTCCTTTCCACATTCATCCATGTACGGGGATGGCTGTGCTGTGGATCCCGCCGACATTCCTCTGTCAGGCCATACCCTCCTATCATCCCATCTCTCCAGGCCTCCCTCCTTCTGAATTATTCCTCTCCCTTATTGTGGCCGTCCTCAGTCTCTCCACCCTTCCATCTTCCCTATAGCTCCCCAGTTCAGCTCTTAAACTGTCCTATAATCTCAAATCCCATAGCCCCTCGTCTCATTACCATCTGCCCCTTGCTAAACCCCAGCCCTGGATTCCACCTTCCACCCATCTCCTCTGCTTCCCTTCCAGTGTCGATAAACATTAAGTGCCTGCTGTGTGCTAACCCCCAGGTAGCTTTATTGAGGCCAGAGCCGTCTCCACACCTCATTGAGGCGGCAGTGTAAGACCCAGGAAGAGACAAAGAAACTCTAGGAGTCTTCAATCGCCTGTAATGGTGTGTTGTCTTGTTTTCAGTCTGAAGATTACTACGACATGAGGCGTCTATACACAATATTGGGGTGTTCTCTGTTTTACAAGGTGAGAAAACTGCTGGATTAAAACCTGAAATTTTTGTAACTGTGTCATGTATTTAACTAAGTCTAGCCTAAAGTAACTTTTACCAAAATTTGCCTTATTGGTAAATTATTTTAGCTTTTTCATTTAACATAGGTGCAATTTCAGCAAAACGAAGTATTTGTAGCTATATACATATAAACATTAATCAATGGTTTGTATTTTTTCTTATTCTGAAAAATCAGAAATAAGTCGAGGAGGGGAAAGCCCATGATTTGAAAGAGCTAAATGTGTGTAACATTTCTCTTTTGTGCAAAAGTATGCCTCAAACTTAAATCTTTTAGCATGATAGGATATACTGCTATTACTCATTATTTTGTTTTAAAATTGAAAAAATTTACTAAGTCAAAATAAAATAGTGATATTCTAAGTAAAGCAAATTAAGGTATAGTTAAGGTATATTAAATGGCACGGTGCACAGAGCTCAGGAAGACATGAGTTCAAAATCAGGCTCAGACACTAACTAGCTGTGTGACCCTGAGCAAGCCACTTTACCCTGTTTGCCTCAGTTTCCTCATCTGTCAAATGAGCTAGAGAAGAAAATGGCAAACCAGTCCAGTATCTTTGACAAGAAAACCCCAAATGGGCTCACAAAGAGTCAGAACTGACTGCATAGCAAATAAGGTATATTTAGTTTGTAGCTTTGTTAGATTTTCCTGATAATCTGTTTTCCTAGAGGCGTCTTGGTTTTAGCCAGAATAAGTAAGTAATCATTTGGTCCAGAGAGCCTCCCACACTTAGTAGTGGTGTGATTATGGGCAATCTACTCTGTCCCTCCGAGTCTCAGTTTCCTCATCTGTAGAGTGGCATGCTACCTACCTGTACTTCCTGAATCCCAAGACAATATACAAGTTTGAGTTGTTTTTTATTCTCTGCTAAAGCCCGCCAGGTGGGGGCCTTCAGGCACGTACCTGACCTTGTGTTTGATTCCAGAGATGTGACATACCTTTTTACTGTAGCATTAATTATCAGAAGAGCCAGCATTTACATCTCCCTTTAAGGTCCTGAACCAAGAGCAGCCCTGTGAGGTAAGGGTACAGATATTACTGGTCTCATCTTGCACATGAGGAACTGCGGTTGGGGAAGGTTAAATGATGCGGCCTGAGTCACCGTCGGAAGCAAGATCGAACAAGCCTCCAACCTCCCCGAGCTTTGTGCAGCAGGGGTAGGAGGGGCTGCAGCTGCCTGCCCCAAGATCCTAAAGCTCTGCTGGCTCTCAGGTCACAGGAAGGAGATTGTACAGCAGGAAACTTCGAGGCAGGGGAGCTTTCCCCAAAAAAATAGCCTAAGAAGCTTTGGGACAACTTGCTCCCATTCCACCAAGTTACTTTATGTAGGTGCCCGACCCAGGACTCCTCCCTAGAGAAGTCTGATTGCCTAGGAGCTGTTGGTCTCCTCTGTCCTTAGGATGCCACGCTTAGAATGCGTCCTGCTTGTAGTTAATAAATAAAAGGTTCCCTTGGTAGTTCCTGTTCTGAATGGAACACAAGGCCTGTTTCTCTAGACAGGCACACAGCTGGGTAGTGTCCGAGGCAGCTCCAGCATTCTATCCACTTTGCCACACTGGCCCCCATTTATTCATCTTATAAATGAAATATGAAGGTTTTTTTTTAATTTCTATTCATGGCATCCTCCCCCTACGTAACCCCTCCACGTCCAGCCCCAACATCTCAGGATCATTTTTCTTCCTTCTTCAGTTCCCAGATACAATCGTTTCCACCTTCCTAGCATCTGTCCTCTTCTTTCCATTCCCAGCACCGGTGCCCAGGGCTGGGCCCCTTCACCTAGGCATTGGCAAGGCCTCCCGACTGCTCTCTCAACCATCTTTCCCCCTCCAATCCACCCTGCTCACCATCGGCAGAATCAGCTTCCTAGAGCACACCTCCGATCATGTCACTTCCCTACTCCAAAGCCTTCAAAGGCTGCCAGCCCCTTTTTGTTGTTCTTCAGTCATTGTTCAGTCATATCCCACTCTCCGTGACCCTCTTTGGGGTTTTCTTGGCAAAGACACTGATGTGGTTTGCCTTTTCCTTCTCCAGCTCTTCTTACATATGAGGAAACTGAGGCAAACAGATTTAAGTGACTTGCTGAGGGTCATAGTTCTTAAGTATCTGAGGTCAGATTTAAACTCAGGTCCTCCTGACTCTAGGCCTGGTGCTCTATCTACTGCACAATTTCCTACCAAATGAAACCTGAAGGCCTTAGCAGGCATTCAAGGCCCTCCACAGTTTAGCTACAAACTACCTACCCAAATGTCTCTCCCTTGATCTTCCTCTATTCCAGCCAAAATGGAATCATTGCTTTTCCCCGAAACACCACGGTTCCTTCACCTATAATCCTTCTCACCTAACTCTGCCTATCGAAATGTTCTCCCTCCTGTGGCACTTCCTGTGTTCATCCTAGTCATCATATGTGTGGCCTCATCTCTCCTTGTCCACGAGAGCTCCCTGAGGGCCATGGTCAGGTTCTGTTCACGTGGACGTGAACACTCTGCCACGGCAGGCATTTAACATAAGCCTCGAGTCCTCCAGGGGCTCAGTTCTTTAAAAAAGACTGAATTCCGTTCCTGTGACCTCGGGAGCAGCTCAAGAGACATGGTTTGAGGTGACGTCCCCCCATGCTTCCTTCCCTTTCAAGGGTTATCTGGTTGGCAGCCACTTGCCCAAGGACGACTTGATTGACATCACCGCATATTGTCGGCATCATTGCCTGCTCCCGTTAGTCTCAGAGCAAAGGATCGGTCACCTGGTCGTGTGGAGAGAAGTGTTCCCCCAGCACCACCTTCAGCCTGCTTCTGAACCACATCCCCAAGTCTTTCGGGAGCCTGAGGGAAGATATTTTTTATTAATCGTTGGTTTGGTAAGTTATGTCTCTGGTGGTTCTTAGAATCACCTCCCTTGCCCCCTCCACATCTCTGACTTTCTGAACAGATGTTTAACCAAAAAGGGAAATGCGGATATTTGTCAAGCCAAAGGCTCAGGATTGAAAAGCATGGTGGCTGCACTCCTTGCTTTGACTGTTAGGGCACCTTGGTGAAAGAGAGGAGCAGACACTTCCGGATTCCCTTTAGGAGTTTCCTGCTGGCTGTGCCAGGTTCTGTTTTCTCTTTGGGCAACAGAGACAGGTGTGGCAAGGGGGGGAAGTGGGGGAGCAGAAAAAGGGGGGCTACCACCAAAAATAAGGAATTCAGAAAATGGTCAAAGGGGCTGAGAATTCTGGATAGATCTGGAGTTCCCGAGTGTCTAGAGCACAGGTTCTTCACCTGGGTATAAATTTGACTAGGAAAAGAAATTACATTTTGATTTTCACTAACCTCTGATCAAAATGTAGCATTTTCTTCATTATTTTTCTAAAACATGAGTCTGAGAAAGGGTCCATAGGCCTTCAGCAGGCTGCCAAAGAGATGAAGAGCCCCTGGCCTCAGAGGTCCCAGGAGGATCACAGACCTTAGACTCTTCTAGCCCACCCTCTTCATTTTACCATAAGGAAACCCCAGAGCCATGTGACTTTCTCAAGGTCACACAGGTGGTGAATTGCAGAGCCAGGATGTGAACCCAGCTCTTTGGGTCCCGAGCCACAGGCTTTTCTCACTCTACCGTGCTGTCTCGCTAGGTGACCAACAGCCCTATCAGGGCAGGGTTGGGTTGGGACTGTTTTCTAGTAGGAACGTAAGGTACTTGGTGGGGTCTGTAAGGGAAAGGGAAGAAAAGTGATTATTATTCACAGGAATGAGACACATTTATAGCCAGAGTGAACTAGCCAGTTCAGGGAAAGCAAATTCAGGGAGCTATAGCCTTAGCTCAGCCATGTGAAGTGACAATAATAATAATTAATAATAATAGCAACATTAGATTGGAAAGATAGGAAGGAGCCAGGTTATAGAAAAATCTCTAAGTACCCCAAAAGGATTTTATCTTTGGTTGTGGAGATAAATAGGCACAGATGATCTCTGTCTTAGGTATTAAAAGTATTGGCAGATTCATTTACTAAGACTGGATATTTGAAATATGGTGGAAAACTGTTATTGCTGGATTCGAAGTGTCTGTGTTATCTTGATGTGCAAAAAAGGGGAAGAAAATAGAGTCAGAAAACTAGAGGCCAGTGAACTTGACTTCTGTTCCTGGGAAGTGTCTAGAATGGCTTGTTAAAGAGCGAGGTGATGGATGAGCATCGGGACAGGATCCTTCTTTGGCAGGATTACTAAAGTGGTGGATGAGGAGGATGCCGGAGAGAGGGAGCCTGGAGTTAGCTTTGGCCAAGCTTTGGATAAGTAGCTCCTCCTGTTCTTGTGGAGGAGCTGGAGGGACATGAACTAGAGAGCTAGATTCAAAGAGTCATCATCGTTAATGGCTGAATGTCCACGTGGCAAGAGGTCGCCAGTGGGTCTTGACGTTTTCATCAGTGACTTGGATAAAGCCATTGATGTTCCCTTGTTTTGCAGGTGAACCAAGACAGGGGGCATTTGGCTAACATGGTGGTGGACAAAGTCAGGATCCAAGCTGACCTTGGCCAGTTAGAGCAGAGGGGTCAAATGTGTGGCCCGTAACACTTCAAGTGTAGGCCCTCTCCGATTTTAATGTGTCGATGTATTCCTAAAAAAGAAATCTATAAATATATGTGGTTTGCTAACTCAGTATGCAGCCAGCGAGCATCCTCATGTGTGTGGTAATGGCCCCCATTTCTTTTTGAGTTGGACACTCCTGGGGTGGAGCTCTGGGCAGAATCAATCCATCAATCATTAAGCATTTATTAAGTGCCTTCTATGTGTTATGCCCTGTGCTAATTTGCTAAGCACCAGACCTGATACAAGGAAATTCAGTAGGGATACATGCAAAGTCTTCAGTTGTGTACAAAAAAAATCAGCTTCAAGTTCAGCACAAGACAGAGGGCTAGAGAGCAGTGTGGCCAGAAAGTCTGGGGGTTTTAGCAGAGGGTAGGCTCACCTTGCAGGCTCAGGCTGCAGTAAGAGTGGGGAGGTGACGACCCTCTGGTTAGGCCTCTTCTGGAGCCTTGTCCTAGGTACCCCGGTTTAAGAAGATAATTGATAACTTCCTATATGTGTGGTCTCCCCCATTAAAATGGAATTCCTTGGAAGCAGGGACTGCCTACTTTTCAGGGACAGTGCTTTGTACATATTAAGTCTTAATAAATTCATTCATTCATAAGCTCTGAAGAGCACCCAGAGGAAGCCAGCTAGGAGGGGGAATGGCCTTGAGTCCATGTCATAAGGAGGAGCATTTGAAGGAAGTAGGGGCATTTGGGCTGGAAAAGGAAAGACTCAGGGCAGATGGGAGGCTGGCTGTCCTTAAGTATCTGAAAGACTGGCATGTGAAGAGGGATTAGCCTTGATTTGCTGAGCCCAGAGGGCAGAGCAGAGAGTTTCACAATGGAGAATTTAGGTTCAACATCTGTCAGGGAAAGCTTGGTAACAATGGGGGCTGTCCTGGAGGGGAAGGGCTCAGGGACTCCCCTTCTAAATGGGTCGGGTCTGTTAGAGTGAGGACTGGGGGGCATAGGAGCTGGATTAAATGGCTGCTAAGGACCCTTCCGATCCTATAATTCTCTCATTCTGTGAAAAGCGTTTCAAAAGGCCAGTCTCGTGGAAATGAAATTTAATGGAGAAGAATGTGGAATTCTACGCTCAAGTCCAAAGTATCAGCTTCCCAAGGACAGAATGGGGGAGGAGTGTGTGGCCAGACAATAATTTAGGTGAAAAAGACAGGAAGTTTTTCAGCTTGGCGTGAGCCAACAGTGTGGCTAGAGAGCCAGAAGAACCCAGTCCTGATCTGAGAGGAACTGTGTCTAGAACGGGAAGGAAGGCACCTGCTGATCCCACAGGCCCTGCTGTCGTCAGTTCTTGTGATCTTGAAAAGCGTGACCCGGGTGGGCAGAGGAAGGCCTGCAGAGGATGCCCTGGGAGGGACATGAGAGCTGGCAGACTAGATAATGTCTGAGATTGTTTGCAGCTCCAAGCTTTTGTGACATGTTAGACAATACTGCTTTATTAAAGATATTTTTCCAGTAGTCCCCCACGCTCAAGTATAACCTGCCTCAATAATTGTTTTCTTACAGAAGCATTATTTGCTGTGTGTGTTGCTAGAGGCTGGAGGATGTGCGTCCAAAGCCGTGGGGCATCCGGGCCCAGATTGCATCTATGTGGACCAGGCCAAAGCCACTCTTCTTCAGCTGGAGGGAGTAGAGGCCAGCCTAGACGAGAGGCTAGCCTCTCCTTCAAACCCCTGTTTGTCTTGTGCAGACTGGTTCCTTCCGTCCTCGCGAGATAAACTCGAAAGCTTGACCTCCTCCCCTCTCCTCACCAAGCTGCAGCACACGTCTAGGGCCATCACCTCTCCTTCCAGCCGAAGAAGGCTGTTTAGTGACTACTCTCTAAAGACACATAAGCTCAGTCCTTCCAGGGGCAGTGGGGGCTCTGATAATGGAGCGGACGGTGCTGGGGAAGGTGGAGGCCCCAGCCCACACACGACCCCGGATCCACTCCACAGGCAAGGCGCGAAGGAAGCTCAGAGCCCTGGGGGTGCACAAGCCAGCGGCACCTTGCTCAAGGTATGTGTGTTCACTCCAGGCCCTCTATTCCCTGCTGAGCGTACCCTTCCAGGGATGCCAGAGCACACTTTACTTAAGCTGGGTTGGTTGTTTGTTTGTTTGTTTGTTTGTTTGTTTGTTTGTTTTTGCCGTAGTTAACAGACCAGTGATTCATAACTCAGATGTTTTTGTAGCAAGAAAGGTTAGCAATTCCAAGGGCCCAGGTGGTCCAGGAATAGTGATCCTTGGCTAAACCTCTTCCTAAATCTAGTCAGACTTTTCTGGTAGCCCTGCACTGTGGATCAGGCAAACAAAGAGTTCGGTTAGTGGTCTGGACAGAGCCGATCCTTCAGACTCGTGCCTCAGCCAAGGCTGCCACGTACCCAGAACTGACCCACCTCTCATCCCCTCATAGGTGCTTTGTCAAGGCTGAGGTTCTGAACAGCTGATGGGGCCGGGAAAAACTTCCAGCGACTCACTGTGAGAAAGGTGCCACCAGGATCTGGTTCCCATGGGCCTAGCCTAGCGATAAGAGGCCCTTTGTCACCTGTGCCCTCCCTGAAATCTTTGCCTTGTGAAAACGCTTTTCCACATTTGTGTTTGGCTTAACCTTAGAATCACAGTCACCTCCACACCGTGGGGTTAATAGAAGAATGAAAAAAAGGAGGGTGGCAAAAGGTGAGGCCTCAGGCATTGGAGGAAGGTCCAAAAGTACGGGCGTGCTGGGCTTCTGGCCATACAAGGAGGGCCCAGAGGTGTTGTAGCTGGGGCCCAGGAATAGTATCAGAAAACCAGAAGTGGTGGGCATAAAGTGAATGTGAACTTCTTCCCCAAATCCCTGAGTACCAGAATGAAGAGGGATCTTTAGAAGCCCAGAATCAGACTCTCTGAGTTGGGAAGGTCATCTGGCCTTAAGGCCAGAGGGCCCCTCTACCATTTTTCCAAAGAGTAAGGTAGGTTTAGGACAAACAAGGATACATTTATCTCTGGAATTCTGTGACTCTTAAGTCTCAGTGTCATTATTCCCCTTGCACCCACCCCATTCTAATATTTCATGATTTGGTGAACTCCTGCACATAATAAATAATAAACTTGTGGAAGTCATTTCAAAAGTTAGTACTGCAAGGAAATCTAATGGGTTCAAAAAGGGTTTGAACAGATTCATGGGTTACAAAGCCACGTGGCTCCTAAGAAGAGCTATAGCTAACCTTTAAGGTGGACTTTAGAAAAACAGCCGTGCCTTCCCACAGCTCAGTACCTGGGCCTGCTCCATGGTTCTTTAGTTGGCTTTGGAATACTGAGCCAAATGTACCATGGATATCTGACCTCCTGTGTCTGTCTCTACTGTAGTTGTTTTAGCTTAGAATAAGCTGAGGCACCTAATTTAAAATAGTAGTCTTTAAAAAAAAACCACCTCATTCAGTTTCAAATACCTATCGAAAATCAGCGAGTGTTTCTGTTCAGTGTGACCATAACATGTTGTCTTTGTGATTCTTAATGCTGTTCGATTCTGTTCAAGAGAGGAATCAACTAGATTTGGGAATGTCGTTTGTGTTCCAGGCCACTAAAAAGAAAGGTACTCTTCCAAACCCTTTTCATTTGGGAAGGCTGAAAAAGGACCTGTCAGAAAAAGAAGTGGAACTGTGTGATGCCATGAAGTAAGAAACATGTCTAATATTCATTTTCATTAAGCTTTCTTTTGAATGAGAAAATTCCTGAGAACGCAGAATTCAGAAGAATAGCTAGCTTTTTTGAGTAATTAAAATTGTGTTATGATTGATAATAGCAAGTAACATAATCTTTAAGACACAATTTATGGTTTCCCACCACCAAGCATGTTGTCTTATCAATAATACTTCTTCATTCATTCATTCAACAAACAAGCAGTAATTACTTGCCAAGTATGTGCCCCTTGGCTGCGTGAAGTGCTAGGAATACAAAATGAAAAACCAAATGGTCCTTGTCTTCAGGAAGCTTATATTCTATTGGGCTGTAAGCAGGAAAACGCATACAAAATGTATTCAGAGTAGATGCAGCCTGTTTGTGAGGAGCGGGGCCCTGCCAGCTGAGGGCCTCAGGATGGGCGTCCTGTAAAAGGTGGCCCTTGAGCTGAGGCAGGGGGAATCTGTAAGTCAGAAGGAAGGAGGAGAGGATCAGAGACAGGGGGCCTTTTGTGCAGAGGCCTAGAGAGGGCATGTCATGGACAGGGAACGCAAATAGTCCAATAGGGCAGAATGGCAGAGTACAAGGGGAAGATTATGAGCCCTAAGCCTTCATGGGGCCAATTAGAAAGGAGTTTAAAAACCAAAGAGATAAGTGTGTATTTTTTCAGAGAGGTAGTAGGGCACCCCTGAAGGGACAGAGACAAAAGCAGCGCTTGAAGGGATGAGCTTAGCCAGGGGCGGGGCCGCATACCCTGTTGGGGAGGCTGAGGCCCCATCTCGGCAGTTCTGAGTGGCGCAGTGTAGGAGGCTGATGAGGTGTCCACACTGAGTTTGGCGTTAATTCAACAAGCCCTCAGGACCTTCTTTTAAAAAAATCACTTTGGAGGATTGGAAACAGGGTCAGGCCTAGAGAAGACACCCAGAGGGTCCTCAGTGCTTTGCTGTGTGCTTGGGGTAGCAAAACTCCAGGTTTCCATTTCTGTTGGGAGAGGCTATGGCCGAGCCCAGAGGAGAGATCTGTGGTAGGCACCCGATGCCCAGCCCAGAGGAGCCAGCCTGTTAGACCATCCTCCTAATCCACCACCTGCCCCACGCCAAACATGCCTACACGTTCAATCAGATGACCGAGGCCTGGGTCAATGGCCTTTTCCCCTGAAGCACCCAGGGTGTAGATTGTTAACAATCATTTATCTCGTAGTTCCGGTAAAGGTGGTGACCTAAAAAGCTATGGAGCAGTCCAGCTGTTTCACACACACACACACACACACACACACACACACACACACACACGCCCCTTCCATCAAGACCAGAACTGTACTAAAAGACGTCTAGAAGAGAAAGGAGATTGGGGAATGGGGTGCACCAGAGAAGCTAGTACAAACCTCAGTAAATGGACCTCTAGCTTATAAGCACTAGGAAATTCTATGAAGGAAAAATATGAGTAGACAAAAGAAAACACCAAACACAATGAAGGAATAATATGGGCTGAGAGAAGCCCAAGGGGTAAACCCAAAGGCAGTAATTTCACAGCAAGCTGAGCCACAGAGGAAAAAAATGGCTTAGCCAGGGGCACCTAGGCTGTGCAGTGGATAGAGCACTGGACCTGGAGTCAGGAGGACCTGAGTTCAAATCTGGCCTTAGACACTAGATACTTACTAGCTGTGTGACCCTGGGCAAGTCACTTAACCCTGATTGCCTTGCCAAGAAAAAAAATGGCTTAGCCTCAACGACTACCAGAATAGTAGAAAAAATGAAGCAAGAGGTCAGAAATGAAACTGAAGAGCTCTGGAGGACAAAATTGAAAGTAATAAAGAATTTAGAACAAAAGATGCAAATCCAAGCAGCAAGCTACCTGAAAGTTAGAATGAAGACAGAAGAAAGTGTAAACTTTCTGCTATCAAAAACTCACCTGGAAAACAGGACAAGGAAAGATAATTTTAAGAATAATCAGACTTCCTGAAAATCATGACCAAACGAGAAACCTAGATACCATATTTCAGGAAATTATAAGAGAAAAACACTAGCACTATTAGAATCAGAAGGCAAAATGAAGAATAGAAGAAAAAAATCCTGTTTACTTTTTTTCCTCCGATAGAATTTAAATAGCTTAAGAGTAAAGACCTTTGTTTTTGTCTAGTACTTCAGACAGCAGCTTAGTACCTAGGACATAGTTGGTACGTAGTCAAATGCTTATTGGTTTTTTTCTTCTCATAGTCACTGTAGTCTCATAGATAGTAAAGGCAAATATGGCTCAAGTACGTCTTTAATTAGCAACCATGGTAGGAAAAAAAAGTATTTAACCAACTTGTATTGTTTGACAGAGAGATTAAATTATTGTTAAATGAGTTGAAATGATACCAGTGTGATCTCCTCCAGTATAGACTAAACTTTAGTCTCTTGTATGATTAAAGTGCCCTGATCATTTGAGCAGCATCACTTAAAGGGGAAGAGAGAATCAACTGTCCAGTTGAAAGAAATTTACTTCTCTCCTCTTTTTTATGTTCCAAGGTTGACGTCTGGCGCTGAGAACACGCTTTTTCACTATGTTGCCTTAGAAACCGCGCAAGGCATCTTTGTTACCCCAACGCGTGAAGAAGTAGCACAGCTTGGTGGTTCTGTCCACCCTCAGCTAATAAGGAATTTCCATCGCTGCTGTCTCTCTATTCGTGCAGTCTTCCAGCAGTCCTTGAAGTGTGAGGTATGTTAGTGCTTTTTGTGGCCATAGCTAACCTTTGCTTCTCACAGTTCACAGTATTCTTCCTAGTACAGTGCTCCAAGAGCGGGGATCATTTCTCCCTTCCTCACCCTTTCCTCCCTTCCTCCCTTCCCCCTTCCCTCCAATCCCACTTTCACCACCAAATTCTTTGCAAAAGTGATGTATAGATACAGTCTGGCTTCTGTCCTCATTACCGTACAGAAAATACTATCTCGAGATTATCAGTGATCCCCCTAATCGCGAAATCCAGTTGGTTTTGAATCAGTCACCATCATCCTTCTGGAGAAAAGAAGACTGGAAATTAAATCATATTACTAAATAGTGAAAGGCAGTTGAAGAGAAAATGAGCCTGCAAATGGGCTAAACCAAGGACATTTGTAGATAGAGCAAGAAGTGGACAACAGACCGACCTGAAATGGAACAGATCTGCTGAGATGTTGATGGTGATCTTTCATCATTTGTGACATTGCTACAACCCCGGTATGTAGACCTATCCCCTGCAGTACCTGCGGAAGGTCAACAGCTAACAAGCATTTACCTTGAGTCAGGCACTGTGCTAAGTGCTTTACCTGAGGAAGACAGGCCCAGCCCTCAAGGAGCTCACTTCTCGGGGGGCTTTCCCAGGTTGCTGCAGGTAGTGGAGGAGAGGAGATGAAGGTGCCCTGCCTGAAGGCATGGTTGAGAAAGTCCAGGAGAATCAGGCATGTCGCCTGGGGAAGCACCAGAAAGTGATGTTCTGGCGCAAAGAGCTGGAACCTGACCCCCACTGCCGGCAATGCAATTTTAAAGGCACTGGGGGATCAGTTCTCAAGGTAGCACAACAAGAAGATTCCAGAAGAATGGAAAAGATCATAAATGGTACTTTTACCCCAAAACACTGTGGAGAAGGATTTAGCAACCTCCATTGCATATGCTTGTTTTTTTCTTATTTCTATAAAATCTTAGATATGAGGCAGGCAGGCTGGCTTCCACAAGTGATTTTCTAGAGTCAACTCCATCTTTATGCTCATAAAAGTGACTGAGCTGTACCCACCTGTGCCTGAGAAAAAGATGTGAAGAGAATGTAAGAGTGGGGCAGGTTCACTTGCTGATTTTAGAATAGCATTAGGCTGGCTAGAACCACGTGCAGCCTTGAAGATTCTTTCCCGAGAAGACACCTGCCACATATATGTTACAAATAGAAGACTGAAGTGACAGAAGGGACTGCCAATCACTCTGTTCAGCGATCACCTGAGTACTAACAGTAAGCCATCACCGAGATATTTACCAATGCCGTGGAGGTATCTGAGAGAATAGCCAAACAGACAAAAGGATTCCTTATTAATGGCAAGAATGTCTAGTACTTTTATTACAGGAGTTTTTAACCCAAAGTCCACAAATTCCTGTGAACTTGGACGAGAAAAAAAAAATTACATCTTTATTTCAATATAATTGATTTCCATTGTATTTCTAAATATTTTATTTTATTCATTAAAAAAATTCTGAGAGGGGGTCCCTAGACCTCCCCAGACTACCAAAGGATTCCACCATACAAACAAAACTAAAAATCCTTTTTTTTTTCCTAAGATAACATTGTACAACTTGTACTGAGCCCAGACCCTGAAAGCCTTTTCTGCAGCAGTGCCAAAGATTGGTTTCACCGTCTAAGGTACACTACGAACCAAAGACAGGTCGCCAAGCATTAGTCCATCACACTGGTCCATCAGTCTGCGTCCTTCACCGGCATTGCAGCTGGGAAGTAAACTGAGTCCAGAAATAAGTAGAAGAAAGAGTAGCAGTGTGTTTGTGGGTAAATGTTGAACAGCCAGCTCTCCGATCACTTTCTTAAGCCTAGACAGTCAACCAACGATAAATCAAGCCCTGGTTTGTCGTTGTTTGGTTGTGTCTGACTCTTTGTGACCCCATTTGGAGTTTTCCTGGCAAAGAGACTGGAGGGGTTTGCCATTTCCTTCTCCGGCTCCTTTTACAGAGGAGGAAACTGAGGCAGACAAAGTTAAGTGACTTGCCCAGGGTCACATAGCTAGTAAGTGCCTGAGGCCAGATTTGAACTCAGGAAGATGAGCCTTCCTGACTCCAGGCCTGGCACTCTATCTACTTTATCACCTGGCTGCCCTAATTTGTGGCTTTAGCTGATTTCCAAGGTGTAAATAAATGCTTGCACTAAAGTAACAATCATTCAAGCTGGCTCCATCTACTCCTGAGAAAGAGATAAGGAAGATGGCATCTGGAAAATGGCATAATGCCTTCAGGGATCCTGGATAAGGCACTGCAAAAATAAAACCAAAAAAACCCTCATCTCTTAGGAATTATCTTTCTGGATAATTCTGTATCTGCCCATTGGTGTCACCTGGCTAGGAACTGTGGACAGTCACCATACACTTGACTTCCAGCAGCAGGCTGAAGGGGTAATCCAGAGGACTAAGAGAAGCATCCTAAGCATATTCCTGGAAGAACCAGAATTACAGATAACCCAAAGACGCCCTTGCCCGTACTGGGCATTAACAGGCTTCGCCATGCTACCAACAACATGCATAGGGGAAGCTGCGTAAAATAAATATGCTTGTCAAGAATGTGTCTGATCCAGAAGTGAGGTGGCCTACTGACCAAGAGGGAGGCCTCAGCCATCTGGAGAGCTTACCTGCTAGTTTGTCGGGAGGGCGGGATTTATTTTTTTAAAAGCCGGCTTTTCACAGGATCATGAGAGGCTGTAGAGCTGTAAGTGACCTCAGAGTTCATGTACACCAACCCCCTCATTTTATCGTACTGAGAGCCAGAAAGGGAAAGAGTTTAGGCTCTCACCTAAAGTCACAAAGTTAATAAATAGCAGAGCAAATCCTCCGAATCCAAATCCACACTGAAGCAGAGGTCTCTCCCACCTTCCGATGTGAGCCCTTTCTAGGCCATCTCTGCAACTGGAGCATTGTTTACAGCAGTATAAAATGACAAAGAGCGAAGCCAAGAAAAGACGTCTGTAGCTTCCAAAGGATGAAGAGCCAAAGGTTCTTTTGTGACTGGGTATGTACAAGCAATAAATCTGGCCTCCCAAGAAGGAAAGTTAAACCTGTGTGCAACTCTGGGTGTGCATGCATCTGTATGCATGCATGTATGTGTGCGTGTGTGTGTGTGCGCCAAGCCAGTGAGTGCATTGGCTCACCTGAAACATTTCCCTTTTGATAAGGCAGCATGGTCCTAATTCCCAGATCCTGGGAATTAAGGAGATTTTAGCACTAGGTTTGATTTTGTCCCTAACTCATTGGGTGACTTTGGACAAGGCACTTAGTGTCCCTGGGCTTCAGTGTCCTCATCCCTAACCTCCCTTACAATCCTAAAATAATGTTATTCTCATTGTCATTCACGTGCACTGTTTCTGTTTAGCCAGAGTATCGTAAATATTTAAAACAAATACTCTTAAGATTCAGTGCATAGAATTTCAGTGTTTGTTACAGAAACACTGTTGGATTTTAGATTTTTTTATTTCATGTTTTCAATTCTGAACTTAAATACCTCAGACAGAGCACACAAACTGAACACAAAAAAGGATTCTATACGAAACTGTAAATCTCCACTTCGTGCCTCTTCCTTTTTTAAACAGTAGATAATAAATTCCACATGTTAGCCTCAAACCTGTGCTGCTCATCTGTACCTCCTTCTGAATTTCCTTCTGCTCGCCTCTGTGCATTCTTTCATTGGGCCTCTTTTTTTGACATCGCTATGACGACAAACTGCAGCCCTGACTCCTCTCCAATTAAAAACCAAGAGGAAAGAAAGAAGAATAAAAAACCATCGTAACATGAGTATAGTCAAGCAAAAAGAATCTGCAAAGCGACCACATCCAAAAGCGTCTGTCTCTTTCTGCATCCTGTGTCCACCCCCTCTCTGCCACGAGGTGGGTAACATGCTCCATCATAGAGAAGGCCGGTCATTGCTTTGGTCAGAGACGTCAGGGTGCTCAAAAATGTCTCCTTTACCTTGTTGTTTTCCCTGTTCTACTCACTTCATTACTCAGCAGTTCCCATCACCTGAGACTCTCTGAAATTGCCTCCTTTGTCCTTTCTTGAAGAACAGTAATGTTCTATTCATAAACTACAATTTGCTCAGCTATTCTCCAGTTCTTTCTTAAATTAATCTAGTTGTAGTTTTCAACAATCACTTCCATAAGCTTTTGATTTTTAAGTTTTCTCCGTCCTCCCTCCCCGCTTCTCTCCCTAAGATTGCGTGCAATCTGATATAGGCTCCCCAGTTCTTAAAAAGGCAATCTGAAGTACCCCCCTTAGATCCTGGTTCTTTCCTAGAATGAGATCTAGAATGAGATTCTTTCAGGATCAGGGAATTTTTTCTGATTGTGACTGTTCCCTCTTCGGTTTTATCTTCCCTTTTGATCATCATCCCCTCCAGACTAGACTTTGCGTGAGGACACTTCCACTTCTGATAAGAGTGAGGTTCATCTGTCCTGCTTCCTTCCCATTCCAATTATGAGAAGTAATCAAGTTCTACTGCCTTCTTCTATCTACACTAGTGTATTCTTCCTTTTGTTGTCCCTTCTTCAGACCCTCAGAACAGCACTAATCCCTCCCAGACCTCTGTTTCCCTTATTTTTAACTCCCTCAGTACCCTTTGAAGACATGAAGTTTATAACAGGACACTTGTTTCTTCTCCCCCAGTTAGAATGTTAGCACCACATCATCACGCATTTCCTTCCAGCTACACAAATAAATTTATCCTTCCCAGTTTCAGTTGACTCTTGTGTTTGGATTTCAGAGTTCCTATTCAGAGCTAGTGTTTTCATCAGGAAGGCTTGAAAGTGAACTCCATTGCATTAAAAATCCACTTTTCTCCCTGAAAGGTTTTATCCTTAGTTTTGCAGGCTAAGTTAGTATTCATTTTAAGCCCATCACTTTTTTTTCTTTTTACTTGCAGTTCCAAGTTCTTCCCCTCCCCCTACCCCCTACCCCACCCCTTGAAAAGAAATGTAATCTCATTATACATATGAAGTCATGCCAAACATCTTTCCACATTAGCCATATGGCAGCAGCAACAAAAAAGGCAAGAAAAATGGGGGAAAATAAGTATCGCTTTTGCCTTTCCAAGATCTCTTGGTTTTTCCTAAAAGCTCCTGATTTTTTGTGACCCTAATTACAGTTCCTTGGTATTAGAACGGCTTCCTTCAGGATGCTGACGTAATTTTTTTTAATGTGCAAGCTCTAGATTTTGGTTATGGTATTCTTGGGACTTTTCAGTTGGGGCTTCCTCCTGTGTCTACTTTTGATAAATTTGAGTTCCTGGATGATTTCTAGAAATATAGGGGACAATCTTCTTTAAAATCATGGTTTCAAAGGAATCTAGTGGTTCATAAACCATCTCTCTTTGTCACGTTTTGTTTATAGGTCAGTTTTTTATGTCAGCTATCTTATATTTTCATTTATTTTTTTCAGCTTTTTAATTTTATTCTGATAGTTTCTGTTGTCTCATGGAGGCTTCGATTTTTGTTTGGTCTTTCCTCATTTTCAGAGAGTCCATTTCTTGGGCAAGATTTACTGTTTCTGACCTTTATTCTCCTTCCACCTCTTTCCTGCAGGGCTTTGATTCCATTTTTTCATGTCTTGCTTCATTTATTCTAGAAATGCATGTAGTCTATGTGGAAAGTCAGGTTTTTCCCCTTGAGTCTCTACTTGCATTTGTTACAGAATTATCCCTGGGGAAGCTCTTTATCTGCAATAATTTCTGATACTGGTTAGTATTTTCTTTGATTTATTTCTCTTTTAAGGCAGCTAGTGATTCAGTGGATAGAGTACTGGGCCTGGAGTCAAGAACACTTAAATTCAAATCCAGCCTCAGATGATTACCAGCTGTGTGACCCTAGGCAAGTCACCCTCTATCTGCCTTGGTTTCCTCAACTGTAAAATCAGGATAGTACTAGCACCCTCCTCCCAGAGTGGTTGTGAGGATCAAATGGGATAATATTTATAAAGCACTTAGCACAGTGCCTGGCATATAGTAGGTGTTTAATAAATGCTTGTTTCCTTCTCCTTCGTCCCCCTTCCAAACTGAGGGTTTGTTCCAGGGCCGCTACACCCTGTGTCTTTAGTTCGGCTTTTGGATGGCGTACTCAGCTTTGCCTTTTCTTTCCCTGGGACTTTCTGACCACCCTCAGGCTTTCCCAGGGGACCCCTCCACTCTCACTGCCTCTAGACACAGAGCCTTGCAGGATCCACGCGTCCTTGGGCCGTCTCTGGTTTCACGGTAATTTGCCAGATTTATCTATTTTGTGGCTTGATCGTACACAACTAAATAACTGATTCTCTCACCTCCTCCCTTCCCTATTTCCCATTTCTGGTATATACATTAGAGGAAGGTTGGGTTTAAAACCACGCATTCATTGCAAGGTTGAAATGAGGTGCTATTTCCAACAGGCTTTAAAAAGTGAAATTTGGAAATAACGTTCAGGAAAGAAACCGGAATAATGTTGAAAGGGCTGGGTCTTCAAATACCTTATAGGATCCGCCGCTTGAAATTGCTTCTGCAAGACACTTGGCCCTTTGTGTCTCATCGTGCCTGTTCATTGATTAAACATCTCTACATATGGGTGGATAATTTGCTTTTTATAAATAAATGCCTCTCCCATTAACTTACAGAAGAAGAAGGCCCTTAATGTTGAAGGCAATCCTCAGTCTGCTCATGCTGCATCCTCCCTCAGTCCTGTGAAAGAACATGGCGTGTTGTTTGAATGTTCCCCCGAAAACTGGACAGATCAGAAAAAACCACCTCCAGTCATGGCTTACTGGGTCGTAGGGTAAGTGGAAACAACGTCCTGGAAAAATGATTTGGAAACTGGTTTGGATTGCTGGGAGAGGCACACTTGTTGGGACAAAGGAAATTCTCGGCCCATGTTTACCATAGTGGGCATTTTGTGGGGATGTAAACCCCAACTGGAGAGGCAGGGTAGATATAGAGCCAGATTGGAAGTCAGGAAGGAAAGAAGAGAAGGAGGTCAAGGGGGCTGTATGACCTTGGGCAGATGGTGTGCTCTCTCAGTCTCTAGACTCTCCTTGGGGAGAAAGAGGTTCCCCCTTGGCATTTCCTATGTCAGAATAATCCCAGGGGTAGCCCTTGATCCTGGCACCCCCTGTTGACAGTGGGGAACCAGTAAAGATGCTGTGTGAAGATGAATGTGGGGGTCCTCTACAGGAGAGAGATGGGGAAGGGGAGAGAAACTGGAGGCAGGAGGATGCTAAGAAGTTGTTCCCGTGGCCCAGAAGGGAGGTCATTGGAATAGGAACTGGAGGGGTGTTCTGGATTAAAGTCACCCAGTCATCTGCTCCACCCCCCTTGAGAGCGTCCAAACTGATACAAGGACATTTGATGGAAGGAGTGCTGGTTTAGAAGACCTAAACCTCGGTGGCCCTCAGGATCTCAAGGCCTCGGCTTCCTGGTATGTAAATTAAGGAAATGGGACCAGAGGAGCCTGAGCTCTGAATCTATCTGGGACTGGACTTCTGGTTACAGCTAGAGTGATAAAAGTCTGGATTGTAACTGGTGGTCTTTAAAGAAATCCAAATAAAATTTTAACCTCCCTCCTACCATCAAACTGAGAACAAACTGACTGCAGTATTGAACTGGGCTGATATTGTACAGTTAAGGCCAGGGACACAGCCCTCATCAAGGGAGTGTCAAGCATCCTCCCTCATTGACAGGATGAAGTTTGGAGGGGGTGGCTCAGCACCATCATTTTTATCACCCGTGCCTGTTAAAGGAAAACTGAGTAGCTTATTAATCAATTTCAGCAAAAATTGGTCTTTTGCCCTCCAGAGCGATGAAGAGAATTGAGCCAAAATAGAAGTGAATTGTCCCAAGAAAGTATTCGGGCCTCAGCCCCTTCCTCTTGTATAGTGGCTTTTTGAGCCAAGATAAATCCTTCAGCGCACAAGCTGAGTTGAGTGAAAAGGAAATCAGTGAGTCCTTCCAAAGTTAGTGTGGGCTTTTTTTTCCTCGCAGGAGACTCTTCTTAGAGCCCAAGCCTCAAGAACTCTATGTGTGTTTTCACGACTCGGTCACTGAAATTGCCGTCGAACTGGCATTTAAACTGTCCTTTGGCTTGGCCACGTGATGCACCTTCCTGGTCACCCAGGGACGCCGCGGAGCACCCAGCGTTGGAAACACTGAAACCCACCCTGAGGCGGCGGCTCTCTTTAAGGTGACCCGGAAATGGCTCTAAACCCTCCCAGAAGTCACTGGCCGCTCTCCTTAAATGCAGCCCCCCCTTCTTGGTCTGGCTGGGCTCTTGAAAGGATACCTTGTGTGTATAGGAAGATGGAGTTGTTCATTTATTGTCATTATATTGTAAGTCATTTTGCTAAATGAGCTGGTTTGTTGTATGTTTTGAAATAATGTGTAGAGTTTAATATCAAATTGGCTTCGGGAAGAACACATCATGGAAAACATCCAGATCCTAGTGTATTTGTTTTGTGGCTGATGTTGATGGGAAGGGCGCAGGCCCAGGAGCAGGTGGCCTGAGCTCGGGTCCTGGCTCTGCCTCCAGCAGTAAGTGGCAGGCCTCCAAATAAGGGACCCAGAGACACTGTTTGCGTGAGAGGAAATCTCGGGATTGAGTTCAGTGGATTCTAATGTACCATCCAGCTCCAGTGTTCAAGGCCTCTGTTTTCCCGTCATCTTGAATATTGGTCCTTTCCGCCCAATCTTCTTCATGATGCAGGTATTGAAACCTCACCAGTCCTATCCTCCTTTCCCCTGCAGTCAGGAAATGGTCAGTGACCATGTAGCACTCGCCTCTTCAGCCATTGGGCTTAATGAATTAGCTGCTCAGGAACAGATTTCTTCTGTTTCCTGAGATATGATGTCAATGTATTCTGTTTTTATACAAGCGACACATTCCTAAAAAGCCAATCAGCTTTTTGAAAACCAATTTATTACATCCAGTATGATTCCCATTTATAGGAACCTTTTGGTGAACCCCATTGGCAAAATTAACCCCATTGGTAAAAATCATCCACCCTTGATTCTTCGGTCATGCAAGTTTGCATTTGGGTTTTCTTTAATTAAGACATTCTTAAAATATTTTAGGATTCATCTTACCCTTTAGAAGAAAAGAGTATTAAGAAATCGTGACACTGGGAGAATTCTGCCCAAATGAGAAAGCCTTGTGTGGGGCAGTGGAGGGGCCTGGCCAAGGTGGCAGCCCTACCTGGCGGTGTGGCCTGTGTGTAGCCCCCTGGGGGCTCAGGGAAGGCCTCCAGGTGTGTGTCCTCGCAGCCTGGGACTGGAGGAGGGCTCCTAAGACCCCCAAGCTGGACTCTGGGTCTCCAGCAGCCCCAGCTCCCCCTGCTCCCCCTCTAGAACCTCAGGTTGGGGGGAGTAAAGCTTAGAGATTATCCACTGTATTCATGCATTCAGATTATTTCATGTGTCTCACGTATTGTATTTGTAGCCTTAGCACCTGGGACGTAGAGAGATCTTGATACATGCTCGGCAATGGGTTGATGAGGAAGGCTGACGCTCGTAGAGGGTTAAGTAAGTTTTCTGATGCCACTAGCTGGCAGATGCCAGGGTCAAGGTTCTTTCTTCAGAGGAATGCATCGTCTGCAACATGCTGTGTGCCACGGAGCCATAGATCAGAGCCAGACAGAATCCTCCGCTCTGCCCCCAGAGCTGAGAGCAGAGATGCATGAACTTCATGGGGCGCATTGAGCTAGCTAACTACAGCATCGGGCCATGGGAAAGGGTCTCGTAGAGGGAGGGCCCTGGGCTGGGAGACAGAAGAGGTTTGAATTACATACACTCACAAACACACGGCCACTTAATTGTTGTGTGTAGCCATGGGCAGTATCACGCTGAGCCTGTTTCCTCTTCTCCTAAAACTGGGGTAACAATCCCTTTGCCATTTACCTCTCTGGGTAGTCATGAGCATCAAGTGAAATCATATTTGTAAAGGGTTTTGTACCCTGCAGAGATCTAAATAAAGGTCCACAGTTATCATCATTCTAATTGTATCTGTGAGAATACTTTTTGAAAAAAAAATTTATTTAACGAAATTTTGTTCTTTACAATGGTTTTTGGAAACAGAAAGAAAAAAAGTATCCCTATTTGCATCCAGATACAGCCCAGTATGTGAGGGCAGCTTTTAAAAACACAGCCGGCATCTTTTTGGGTTTTGATTCCCAAATGGCCAGTGAAAGGGGTCGTCTCTGAGATCCCTGCACTGCAGATGGCTGCCCGCGTTTACCCCTGAAATCAAGAACCTTTGACCATCAAAGCCAGGCTGCCGCTCTGGCTAACCTGGCACTTTATTCAAGGAGAAAAAGGGTCAGTTTGTCAGTGTACGTGCTAGCTGGTTCCTTTGGGCAATGTGAAAACATTCTCAGACTGAGATATTCCACACCCCAGCAGGTCCTTAGACCTCCAAGGAGGTGACTGCATATAAATGCACTGCAGAACATTCTTTTTTTAACCCATACCTTTACGTATCAGGCACCACTGAGTGTAGATGAGAATTTTTCCATGCAACAATAGCAGTTACTTTATGTCTTTACCCTGCGTCTCTGAACTGCTCCCTGGAAAGTCATCAGCCCTGAACCAGGCAGGTCCTTGCTTTTCATCTGGGCTTTGGAAAGACTGATAAATATGTAGGAGCCTAGAAATGAGCCCAGCATCGGTGTTTTTCCATCCTAGAACAATGCAGAAGAGGAACGAGGCCAAGCTTACAAGTTGGTACCATCACTTTGGCAGTTACAGCAGGCACAGGGGTGGTTAATCACTTGTTTGTCACTGACGTAAGGGTCTCTGGCTCCATGGACCCTGGTTAAGATTCCAGGAGTCAGGCCAGCTGGATTTCTTGTGCCACCAAGAGATATAAACAAGTGAAGAACTTTCTCTTTTATCCTTAGTACCTACAAATGATGTGGAATGTAACCATCAGGTAAACCTTTTAAGAATAAAAAGATAATGGTTTTGATATTTTCATGTATATTTAATAGAAAAGTGGCATTTTGAAGAAGTTATAGTTACCTCTAAAACATGTCTTTCTGTGTGTGAAGTAATTTAATTTTGCATAGCTCTATTTCTTTAACCTGTATGAAAAGCTATTTTTATATTCTCTCAATTGTTTTTAATAAAGGTAAGTTGAAGATTTATTCATCAAAAAAAAATGTGCTTTCTTGAATTTCATTTTATGTCTTCTTAATCGAAATTGTATATTCAGTTTCTTTTACTACAGTTTGCCAGACAACAGTTTGGGCGTATTTCTAGAAACAACAGAAACTAACTGATCTGAAGCTATAAGGGGACAGCCAGGTGGCTCAGTGAGACAGGAGGACCTGAGTTCAGATGTGGCTTCAGACACATAGTGGCTGAGGGACCCTGGCCCACTTACTTCACCTCTCTCTGCCTCAGTTTCCTCATCTGTAAAATTGAGATAATACTTTTCTGACTCCTGGGGGTACTGTGAGGATCAAATGAGATGATATTTCTAAAATGTTTTGCAAACCTTAAAGCCCTATAAATAAATAGTTAACTTTCTGTATTTCTAAATAAAGTATAGGCTTTCACACTTTTTAATCTTCCACTTTCCACCCCCCTCCATGTTTTTAGTGTGCACTGTCTGCTGAAATGAGACATGTCTCCTAGTTTTAATGCCTGACCTGGGTTCATAATTCACCTGATGTGTATTTACACAAATAAGGCGTTAAGGGAGAATGTCCTAGGCCGGCCGGTGTCAAATATATATTGAACTGAGGGCCATTAAGCATTAGTTAAGGATCCCTATGGTGGCATGTTGACTTAGAAAACCACATATGAACATTATCTATGTTCCATTGTATTTTTTTACTTATCATACTTATCATAAAATACTTTGTCAAATATTTCCCAATTACATTTTAATCTGGTTCTGGTCATACTGGGCAGCAGTATGGGTCCAGTGTTTGACACCTGTGCTCTGGCAATTCTCTGAGATTGGAAGTTGTAAACCAGTCCTCCCATGTACTCTCACCTAAACCTCCCCACCAGTGAAATCAGGACTGGACCAAAAACGGAACTGGAGGAGGGGAGGAGGATTGAGGGAAGCAGGGAGGGAATGACTGAGAGGACTTCATCAATGCTAAGAGTTGGACAGTGGCATGTTCATTCTTTCTCACCATTGCCACAGTCAGGTGAAGTGTTGTTTGTTAGCAATTCCTAATCCTCCCTTTCCCTGAGGAAAACACAGCTATCCCAGTGGGCTATTTGCAGTAAACAACATGGCACCCGTCATCCATGGTTGATAGAGAACAAAGGAAAATAAAGCAAAAAACTTGGTATAAAAGCTTCTAGTAATAACACCTTTTTGTATAAAAAAAAAAAGATGGGCTTCAGCAACAGGTTGAACTGTCAGCAGAGGAAACCATAAAGGAAGTCTAGGATGTCAAAAAGGAGTTTCTATACATGTACAAGTACTAAAAAAAAAAATTATAAAAAGAAACCTATTGTGCCATCAAAAGAATGTGTCTGAGAATCTTAGGAAAGAAGAAGGAGTTAAAACAGGCATCTTAGGTTATGCAGGGGGTTAGAGTCAGAAGACCTGAATTCAAATCTAGTTTCAGATACTAGCCTTGGAACCCTGGACAAGTGACTTAATTTCTGCCTCAGTTTCCTCAACTGTAAAATGAGGATCATAATAGCACCTACCTTCCTAGGGGTTTTTTGAGGATAAAGAGAGATCATATTAATAAAGTGCTTTGCAACTATTGAAGCTTTATATAAATGTTAGTCCTTGCTATTGTTGTTAAGTTTAGGAAAAAGAGGACTTCAGGGCATATGTATGCTAAGATGGTATGGGCTCCAGGTCCTTGAAGGGAGCTGGACAACACTCTTGCTACCTTAAAGATTTCCTCCCCAAAGCTCTGTTGCCTCACCCTTTCTCTTGCTCTAAGATGAAAGGATTTACGCTAGCTAAGACCTTGTGGCTCTTCAAATCCGACCTCCTCATTTTATATCTCTCAGGATCAGAGATGGAGAGCTAGAAGGGGCCTTCGAGGTCATCTAGCCCAGCCCCCTGAGTTTTACAGTGAGGGAGATAATCAAGGTCACAAAGGCAGTTCGTTCAACATTCCCAGCCAAGTGATCAGGGTTGTGAGAACAGAGAGGAGGAAAATTCTAGGGAATTCTTGAAGCCAGCGAATTAATGTCAGTGGGATGCTGAGAATGAGAGCGGAGTCAGAGGTGATTCTGAGATTCCAAGCTGTGATTCACTTAAGGCACCTACTGTGTACAAAGTTCAGTGGATGCAAAGATGGGGGAAAAGAATGGTCATCTTACAAATGCTTACAGATGCAGCAACAACTGAAGGCATTGGCCACTGGGGCTCCTTCTCTTGTCTTGACCATAGTCTCCTTACTATGTAGGTAGGAAGCCAGATGCTTTTAATTCTGTTTTATCTGTTTTACTCTGATTCTGGAGGACAGAGGAGCAGGGAGCACCTTGGATCCTTACCTTTGCAGCAGACATCTTTGAACAGAAGGCTGCTCGTCTGGCCGGCAGGGCAATATTCCTTTTCTTTCTTTGCTAGGAGTTGGGAAATCTACATGGTTCTGTATCAAGGTAGGCCCAAGAGTAATATCCATCATCATCCTCCATTCAGGAACAATGGTATGCCTTGCATTTTGTAGGGTTATCTGTTAAAGGCAAGAAGTGACAAGCTTTGTAGATGCACTCCATCCACCCAAATTACCCAGGCTGGATCTTTCTTGCTGCTCATTTCTCCCCTTTCTCAAGATTTCAGTGCCTCCTTAACCGTCCTCCTCTTTGCCCCAACACCTACACTTAACAGATTCGGGCTATTGAAGCCTCATTAATAGAGAGTTGTCTTGTTAACACATTCCAAACCAGACCTGACCTTAACCAAAGCTCTTTGGTTAATGCTGAGGGTAGGTGGATAATGTTGCCTGCCGTGTCTGCTGAGGGGGTAAAGATCCACAGTGATCCCTGCTCCTCTGTCCTCCAGAATCAGAGGTGAAACAGAAGAAAAAAAAAAAAAGAACAGAATTAGGGGCTTCTGGCTTCCTACCTACCTAGTAAGGAGACTCTGGTGAAGAGGAAGACCCCAAATGGCCAGTGCCTTCAGTTGTTGCTGCAATTGTAAGACAAGAATCCTTCCTTGCCATCTTTGAATCCACTGAACCTTGTGCTTAATAAGTTAAGTGCTTAATAAGAACTTGTTTAAGTGAATTACAGCTTGGAATCTCAGAATTACCTCTGACTGCTCTCTCACTCGCAGCTTCTCACTGATGTTACTCCTCTGGCTTCAAGAATCCCCTAGAATTTTCCTCCTCTCTATTCTCACAACCCTGATCGATTGGTTGGGAATGTTGAATGAACGAATATATAAATAAATGTGTTTATTAAGCATCTACTATATGCTGAGCAGTGTGCTGAGAGATACAAAAAGCAAAGACAGTCCCTACCCTCAAAGAGTTCACTTACATTCTAATAGGGGAAGATAAAGCACTTAAGAGTAGAATATTTTAGTTTGCAAAGGGATAGGGATAGGGAGCAGAAAGCTTCTCCTCAGTCCAATATCCCCAATTCCTTTAACCAGCCTGTTTTGAAGACCTGGACACATTACAGCTGCAGTATCCTTTCTAAAATAGCACACACAAATGAAAAAGATTTCATCTTGATACCATTTTAGAAAATTAGTCTTTTCAAAGCATATTTCTTTTCAAAACATTATTGCTTAAAGTGTATTTCAATTCTTAAATTACAGTTATTAGCCAAACCTCCCACACCAACAATAGAACAGGGACGAACTAGCCCAAATGCTCCCGGAGGTGAGTTATGTTCTGTCTTAGTCATCTTCCTGTCCCCCACAGCTTCTAGAAGCATCTCAAACAGAGGAGGTACTAATAAATCTTTAAAATTGAATTACAGAAGAGCAATTTGGGGAAAATATTAGAATTAGGCAACAAGGCATGGCCATTCTCATTTTCATTTTTAGTTTTTAGAGATGCCACATTTTTGCACTCATCTATTTAAATTGTTTTTACCTTTTGAGATTTGTTTTTAATTGAATGAAATGGAAGTAGATATTTTACAGCATTTGGAGGGGGAGGGGGACAAAAGGGGAAAAGTTCTGCCTTTTTTTGGGAGAAATCCCTCATTTCCCCCAAAACATTTGCTATTTTCCAAGGACTTTTTCAATGATGACAGTCTATAATTTGACAGTAAAATGTTTTTGTTTATTAAAAATTACTCTGTTCCAAGCTCCCTGGTCAAAATGAGGTTGAGGATGAGGATGATGACAGTAACTAATGATGGAACTTTATTTAGCACTTTTACGTTTACATTTACAAAGAGCTTTTTTCCCCAGCAATTAGCACAACGCCTTTGTAGGTTTTTCCCCTTCTTGTACTCTCGTGTTGTTGAGTCATTTTTCAGTTATGTCCAACCCTTTGTGACCCCATTTGGGGATTTCTTAGCAAAGTTTTCCAGCTCCTCTCTCTCCCATTCTAATTCCCTGCCCTCACTTGAGAATACAAGAAAAATTCCACATTGGTCATGCCAAAAAAAAAAATTGTCTCATTCTGCATCTCAGGAGTGCTTTACCTTTCTATCAAGAGGAGGTAGGTAGCATGTTTTGCTGGGCAAATTATGCTTGGCTGTAATATCCTTTGCCTTCTGAAACACCAAATTCCAAGTTCTCTGCTCTTTTCTTTCTTTCTGGTGAGGCAGTTGGGGTTAAGTGACTTGCGTAGGGTCACACAGCTAATGTTAAGTGTCTGAGGGCACATTTGAACTCAGGTCCTCCTGACTCCAGGGCCAGTGCTCCTTTCTAGTGGTGGCTGCTAAATCATGTGTGTTCTTGACTGTGAGTCCTCAGAACTCTAATTCTTTCTTTCTGGCTACTTGCAATATTTTTTCTTTCACCTGGGAATTCTGGATTTTGGCTATTATGTTCCTGGAGTTTTCACTTTGTGGTTTCTTTCAGAAGGTGACTGATTAATTCTTTCTATTTCCACTTTGTCTGCTGCTTTCAAGAGTTCTGAGCAGTTTTCTTTCAAAATAAGATGTTTAGGTTCTTATTTTGGTCATAATATCCAGATAGTTGAGAGATTCTTAATTTTTTTTCTCCTCAATCTGTTTTCCAGGTCATTTGTTTTTGCTGTGAGATACATTATATTTTCTGGAGCAAACAAAAAAAAAAAGAAAGAAGAGTGGCATTGTTTAACATATTTTTGCAAATCTCTTTAATGTCTGGCACAAAAGACAGATTCTTATATCTGCTTCTGTATCTCATCTGTTGCAGTATGTTGTTTTGGATTAAGCCTATCAAGAAAACCACTCTAACACAGATACATAATTAGAAAGGGGAGGAATATTTTAATAGGCAATTAAGATCCTCGTGTTTTATGAAAATAGTTTTTACCCCAAGAACACCTTGGAAGTGTGTCCACACTTAGACCACGCTTTAAGAACTGATGAGGTAGAGGCCAGCTATTTATTTTCTCCACCACCAAAAAAAAAAATTCTTGAAACAAATCCAAAGGACATATTAACATATACTCCCCATACAATATAGTATTCTCTCAGGAGGTAAAGACAATTTCATAGGACTGCTGAATAGATACTGCACATTCACCTTGAATCCACACTGTCTGAGCAACTCCCCAAGTCAACATCGCCTGGCATCTTCCTGGTGAGCAAACCACCCTCTGAAACTCACAAAATCTCACACTGAGAGGGGTTAGAAATAGTTATTTCACATAAGATCAAAAGCCATTTTCCAACAGATAAGTAGTCAACAGATGTGAACGAACACTTCTCAAAAGAATTCCAAACTACTAACAAATGTAAGGGGAGGCAAATGCTCTTTTGAGGGAATTTAGATCCCTTCCCCAAAGGGAAAGGTGACCAGAGAAGGCAAAGGCCAGTTCTCAAGATTTAAATTCCACTTTTCCCTAAAAGGGAAGAAAACTAGAGGAAAATAATACCTGTGAAATTAAAGAAAGATTTTTTTAAGCGGGTAAGAAAAAAATAACATGCATGGGTACTGTCCAGCCTGTGCCGAATAGGAAGCCAGGTAATGAATGAGAAGAGTTCATATACCTTTTAAACAAAAGAAGGTAAGGAATCTGGGGGGGAAAGGTGGGCTTAGAAAGGAATGAGTCAAGGGAGGGGGAGTGAGGAATTCCAGGTGTCAGGGCAGTGGCCCTGGATACTCAAATCAGAAGGCATCCTTGGTGATAAGCAGTTCATAGTTCAAAACCTGTTGGGTCAGCTAGATGGCGCAGGGAATAGAGCTCTGGCTGTGGAGTCAGGAGGACCTGAGTTCAAATCCAGCCTCAGACACTTTACACTTACTAGCTGTGACCCTGGGTGAGTCACTTAACCCCAACTGCCTCACCAAAAAAAAAAAGCTTGTTAAGGGGATGTCTCCAAAAACAGGATAAGAACCTGCAGCCAGGAAAGTCTCTGAAGATAGTGATGTCTCTAAAAGGTCCATAAACCACCAAAAGGTTCAGTGTCTGCTTCAAAGCTGGTATGAGCTTAACTGGCTTCAGAGCTGCTGATTTTCTACACACCCAGCTAGGTTTACAGCAAAGGATTGTTGGTATGTCAAGGAATTATGCTTCTCAGTCAATACTGCCGGTCCTCATACAGCTCTTTGAGATTACCTGGATAATTGAGGGCTCAAGCAAGTCAAGGGAGTTAGTATCCTCATTTACAGGTGCACTCATATACAACCACGTGAAAGAATGCTCTAAGTCTCCAATGATAAGAGAAACACATCAAAACAACCCTGAGCTTTTATCTTACACCTTGCTCGTTGGCAAAGAAGACAAAAGATGGGGATAGTCAACGTTGGAGGGGTTGTGAGAGGATAGGAATACTAGTGAATTGTTAGTGGAGCTGGTTAAAACCTGACTCACAGAATGGTAGAATTAAGGGAAGACTTTTTGACATGAAAAAGCCGACAAGGAGTTTGAGCTAGTTATTTGTGTTGTACCGAGAAATCAGCAAGTGAGACCCAGACGTAATTTAAGATGTGGATTTTATTAGCGTGCGGCTGCAAGGGGCATGCACATCCAAATCACGCAGCCCCGATCAGGGGTCGAGCTAGGGTTTATATGGAAAAGAGCATGGGAAAGAAATGCCAGGAACACTGATGAGGTAATCCAAAGGTGCAGGTGTCTTTGGGAGCTATGGATGGGAAAGTACAGGGAGTATACCAGATAGGGAGGGGGATGGATCTTTACAGTCTGGCAGGAGGAAGAGTCCTTGGGCTGGCCAAGGACACCCCTCTCCCTCTGTCTTGATGAGAGAATGCTCTGCAACAAGGGAAAGCTTTCTCACAACACAGGAACTTACTGAGGAATTGGGAGGCTTCCAGAGACATGATCTGAGGGCTGGGGCCTGAGCAGCCCAGCTCTGTGTAGCTGTACCAGGGAGAGATAAGGGTCGTGCTAAGGCCCATGCATGAATAACTGCTAGGCACAGTGTCCTTGGGCTGAGGAGTGGTTGTCAGAGACAGGGTTTCTGAGACTAGGGAGAAACTGGGGTACAAGTACAAGCCCAAGCACCCGAGCACCCCATCATTACAGGTCAGAGATCACACAAACCAGACTAGGTGTCCTGGTCTCTGGTATAAACATAATTATCTAAAGCAATTATATTGCAAGCTTTCTTATCCATTTGCATTGGAGGTATGGGCTATGCTGAGCTATGCAAGAGTACATTTCACTATTGTTTAGATTTAGGAGGAAAGAGGTCTGGGGCAAGATTAAGCACCAACTTTTGCTTGCCATGGCTTAAAGGGCCCTACTGCCTAAATGGCAAAAGAATGTTCTGCATTGCATTTGCACCAGGAATTCTCTTGATTTCAGACTCTGTAGGCCCGTAAATCTCCCCTCTCAATCAGACCATTGTGAACCCTCTAAATATAACTTAGTTTACCTACAGTCTGTTTAACTAGATTTGTTTCCTTAAGGGATGTATGAGATTATGATTCTGCTTAACTAAATTTGTTCAATTTTGATGACATTGGAGGAAATGTGGGATTTGGAATCTTTCTGTTTTGACTTTCAAGTCCTAAGATGCTGGAGAAAATTGCAATACAGGAAAGAATTATTTCCGACTCGCTGACATAACCTTGTCTATAAAAAGCCTTGTTGGAACCCTAATCTTCCTTCAGGGTTATTTTTCCATCCTGTACCCGAGGGTAAAACCCAGGTGTTTTGCTCTGCCATGTCTGCACTGGGGCAGATTGAGTTCAGCAGCAGTAACAACGAAGGAGCTCAACAAAGAGCTATTTCTGCCACTGCACGTGCAGCGCTTCACTGCTGCAAAGGGGTCCCCCGCCCCCTCTCCCATGGCAGTCCCGGGGAGAGCTCAGGCTGCAGCCTGCAATCAGCTCCGTCGCAGTTAGGGGAAGGGTGGCTGGACCACAGCTCGGAAGGAATGCTGCGTGCTCCCTGCATCTCTGCACACCCACCCCTCCCGGGGGCGCAGAGGCCGAGCCCGGCCAGCCCTGCTGACCGCGGCGACCCGCTGGGCGCTGGCTTTGGGGGCGGCGCTCTGTGCACGCGGGGGCTTGGTTTCCTCCTACACTTGGGGGTTCACCCCTGGGGTGGAGGCGCCTCCAACCCGAGCCCGAGCCTGCAGTAACGGGCCGTTGTTTCCCATGGGGTTCGATCGCTTTGCGGTGGTTTAGACTGGAGAAGGGCAATACCCGGTGTGTGCCCGTGCGTGGCTAGTGCATGTGCGTGGGGAGGGGGCGGTTGTTAAATATTTACCACTGGCCCTGGCGCAGCCCCAGTACTGGGGGAAGGAGGCTGCCTCCACGCCTCGCACGCGTGGCCTGGCGCTTTAGGCAGCCCTTCAGGCTGGCCTTAGTTTCCCCCACTGTCCAAGAAGGGAACAGAGCTACATCTTCGCTCTTTTGATCTTACCCTCCCCTCCCCCACCATCGCACCGCCCTCCCCTCGCGCGCGTGCGCACAGCAATCCGCCCCCGCTCGAGCCCTCCTCGCGCCAGCCCCCCGGGATCGCGCACGTGTGTGCATACGTGCAGAGACGCAGGCCACGTGGCTCCCGCGACGCCAGGAGAGGCGGGCCGTTGGAGGCGCATGCGCGGCGGGGCAGCGAGGCCGGGTTGTGCGCATGCGCAGCCCTCTCCCGCTGCAGCGTGTTCTTCTTTCCCGCCCCTGCGCAGTCCGAGCGGAGATCCTCAGGCCGTTTTTCTCCAGTCGAGCCCCAGAGCGCCGCCGACCATGGTGGCCCAACGCAAGGGCCAGGAGCCCGACAAGCTGCTGGACCTGGCGTCCTTCGGCACGGACCTCCTGGTGGGCGGTGTCGCGGCCGCCGTGTCCAAGACGGCCGTGGCGCCCATCGAGCGCGTGAAGCTGCTGCTGCAGGTGCAGGCGTCATCCAAGCAGATCAGCCCCGAGGCGCAGTACAAGGGCATCGTGGACTGCCTGCTGCGCATCCCGCGGGAGCAGGGTACGGGCCGGGGAGCGGGGAGGGTGGGGGAGGGGCGCCGCGGGGGGGCCCTTCTGTTCGCTCCCGTGTGGTTTCCCCTGGGTTCTGCTTGAGCCTCTCCGCATGGGCGCGTGCACATGTATAAGTTTCTCTGGATATTCACATTGGTCATTTCTCCTATTGCAACAACGTTGCGCAGCGTTCTACCTCGTTCCTCCTTTTTTACCGCCACACGCGGGAAGATCCGTGTGTGTGTGTGTGTGTGTGTAAGTAACACCCCTTTTTCCGTCCCTGGCCTCCTGGGGATAGATGCACCCGGTCTTGGGACCCTTGAAGCAAAGGGTATGAAGTTTAGTGGTTTCTCGGCAATAAAGTGAATGAATGCAGATATATGCAAAGTAGTTAAATGGAGGGTAATGTGGGAGAAAGAACTGGAGCATGTAACTATGTACCGTTATAGCTGGAAGGCACCTTATGGATTATCTAACCCAAGCCCTTTATTTTGAAAAAGGGGAAACGAGGGTCCCGAAGAGGGGGAGCAACGTTGGGGTCCTAGGGACCTGTACTTCCAGAGGGCAGCAGGGTGGCTCAGTGGATAGGGTGCCGGGCGTGGGGTCAGGAAGATCCGAGTTTAAATGCAGCCTCAGACCCTAACTTTGTGACCCGGGGCAAGTCACTTAACCCCTATCTGCCTCAGTTCCTCCTCTGTAAAATGGGAACACACTGGAGAAGGAAATGGCAAGCCAGTCCAGGATCTTTGCCAAGAAAATCTCGTGGCCACGGGTGGCATAAGAATCAGGCCCGACTGACCAACAACAAATAGGTAATTAAAAAGGTACTTGTATTTGAAAGGTAGCAGGAAAGGAAAAGGCAATGTGAGGGGGAGGGGACCCAGAAAGGCCTTTGGCAGAGGGTGTGATTTGAGCCGAGTCTCCAAGAGGCCACAGTGAGGAGGGAGAGCCTTGTGGGCCTGGGGGCCGTTTGGGGCAAAGGCTTGTAAGCTGGAGATGGACTACTGAGTGTGAGGAACAGCAAGGTGGCTGGTGTGGTTGGGTCCGAGAGTACGTGGGTACAGTTTGTGAAGACCTACAAATGCTACTGAGAAGACTTTATATTTGGTGGTAGAAATCATAAGGGGTCTTGAGTTTGTCAAGTAAAGGGAAGTTGTGACTCTTTGAAGGACAGTTTGGAGGGGAGTCCAAGGCAGGACTTGAAGTCAGGTGTTGTAGACTAAAAGTGCTGCTTTCTGTTTACTTTGCTCCCTCACTGCCTGACTGAGGTTTTGAACCAAAGTGGCTAAGAGGAGAGCGGTGTTTGGAAGAGAGGCGGTTTTCGGGGAGAGATGATGAGTTCTGCTTTGGACATACTAAGCTCGAGGTGACTCCAGGACCATACAGTTCAAAATGTCCAATGAGTGCTTGGCGATTCACTCCCGGAGCTCAGGCTCGAGACCAGGAATCATCTGATGAGAGAGTGTGTGAAGAGAAGAGGGCCCAGAGAGGATGTATTGTAAGCGGGCATGAGATGAATGAAGAAGGAGGAAGAAAATCGGTCAGAGCCATCGTTGTCCCAGAAAGAAGAGAAGATGGTGATCTGGATCAGGTGCTTCCGAGAGAGGACGAGAAGGATGGGACCGGGAAGCGGCCTTTAGACTCGTCCATTAAGGTCCAATTGGTAACTCTGAAGAGGATGGAAGGCTCGTTAAAAGTAAGAGAGGAAGTAGAGATACACTGATCATAGAGGATTTTTTCAAGGAGTTTACCTGAGAAGAGGAAGATAGAGAAAAATGGCTCTTGGGCAGAATAGGATCCTAGGAAGGGTTTTTAGAGGAAGGAGGAGACCGGTGTGTTTGAAGGAACCAGCAGATAGATGGGGAGAGAATGAAAATTCCAGAGATGATAGGGGTGATTGAGGGAGGCAGTCTGCTGCAGAAGACAGGAGGGGCTGGGATCAAGGGTATGGGCTGAGGGCTTGGGTTTGGCAAACAGAAGGGCTACTTGGATGAAGAGGGGAGAGTGTTAAAAAGAGAGAGCAATAGAAAGGGGAGAAGATCGAGTTCTTGGTGAATGGCTTCAACTTTGTCAGTATAAGTATGAGATTTGAGGTTCTCAGTTAAGAAGGTGCAGGGGTATCCCATAGGAAGCTTGAGAAGAAAAGAGGTTTGTAATAAGTGGTAGGCACATGTCTCTAATGTAGGTCTTCCAAATAGAAAGCTGGAAATGATCTTCAAAGTCGTCTAGTCCAGGGCTTCTTAAACTTTTAACTTTTAAACTTTTTCTACTCCTGACCCACATTGCCCAACCCCTCTTTTTTGTAAGTGAAGGCCCAGAACTGGATAGAATGGGTGGAGTGGTGACTTGCCCAAGGTCACACAGTGACAAAGTAAGGATTCAAACTCAAGTCCTCAGATTCCAGACCAAGTCCTCGTTTTTCTTCGAGGCCATCTAGACCAGCCCCTTCATTTTACAGAGATAGATACAAAAAGGATGTGGCGTGGTGTATTGAAAAGACGACCTGATTTGGTATCAGAAGATCAGACTTCTGCTACTTGTGTAGCCTTGGAAGAGTTACTTAATTTTGTGGGGCCTTCTTTTCCTTGTGTGTAAAATAAGGGGTTAGATTAAATAGTCTGTAAAGCCACAGTTCTTAATCTGGGGTCAGTAAACTTGTTCTTTTAGTATTGTATTAATAATATTTCAATGTATTTTGTCTTCTGTGTATTGTATGCATTTAATTTTTAAAAGTATTTTTGGTTGTTTATTATTTTCCCCCAGCCACCATTCAGTAATTAGAAAAAACAAAACCCTCTCTATATATCTGAACAGTCTAGCAAAAAAAAAATTTCCCTCATTAGCCATGTCCAAAAATGTATGATTTGTTCAAAGTTTTAAGTTCATCACCTGTCAGGAAGTGATGTGTTTCATTTTTATTCTTTTGGACTTTTGTTTCTCATCTCACTAATCAGAGTTCTGAAGTCTTCCAAAGTTTGTATTTTCTCACCCAAATTGTTCTCTTAACTTGTGCTCATTTTGCTCTGCATCGATTTATCCAGGTTAGGAGGACAGTAGAGGTAGAATAGTATAGCATGGAAAGAAGAGATCAGGTAAGTCACTGCTCTCTCTCGAGTCTTTCCTCCCCCATCAAAGGAAGCGGTTGGACCAGCAGGTAGCGCACTCTTGTAGCTTATGGCACTGTGTAAAGTCATGCAATCATAAGTAGCAAGATCAGAATTCAGACCCAAGTTCCAGACTCTGAACTCCCAGCCCATAGCTGTCTCTTCTCCAGAAGACCCACGGGAACAATATCTAGGCCCAGTGTTAAAGATTCCTCCCTCCCCAGAGGATGTCCTAACCCTCCCTCCAGGCCTACCTTGAATGAATGAAGGAGTCAGTATTTAATTAAGTACTTGGTGTGTGCCACGGCACTGCTTGAAGCTTCCCTAGGGTTCAGCAGCCGTTGGATGTAGGGGCCTGGAGGTCGTCAGGGGGCTGCTGCTGGGTGGGTGGCAAGACCTGAAGGAGTGTTAGGGCAGATGCTAAGGCTTTTTGAGAAGTCTGCAGGATTCCACAAGCAAGGCAGGTGGCAAACCGTGAGCTCCTCACTTTTTCACCCCAGGAAGCATGTGTGTGGCTCAGTCCCTCTTTGAAGAGGAAAGGGAAGCTTTCCCACATTGCTGCTGGCTGCACACACTGTGCTTCCATCTCAGTGTTCCAATTTCTGTCCCCCAAGAGGTCCTGAGGCGGAGGAGCCGGCATGCCTTGGAGCAGTCCTGTTCTGCCAGCCTCAGTTTCAGCAGAAGGAGCTAGTTGGTGATTGCTCATTGAAGCAGTTCATGTGGGCTGGACCCAAGTCACGAAGCTTCTTTCAGTGTTGTGCTTTCCCCTCCCAGTTAAGATAGAGATTCTGCATTTATCTGATAACTCTAAATAAGTGAGTGAACTTTCTCGATGTTTGAAACTCGTCTCTTTGAACATAGCCTTTTTATTATTAGCGTAACCATTTTGGATGGAAACATTCTCAAATGTAATATGCCTCCTTAATCGTAGTTTGTGGAACATGTTAACCTTTTCAGGAGCCATTCCTAAGAACATTATACTGGGGCAGCTAGGTGGTGCACTGGCCCTGAAGTCAGGAGGACCTGAGTTCAAATTCAGCCTCAGATGAAACACTTGACACTTACTAGCTGTGTGACTCTGGGCAAGTCACTTAACCCCAATTGCCTAAAAAAAAGAAAAGAAGGATATTATATCCCACCCTTTCTGCATTGTCTCTGCTCTCCCTTGTTGCTCTAAACGTGCTTGATAGCTGCTTGTTTACTTTTAAGTAACTGCCAGTGTTAGAACCGCATGTAAAGCAAAAGTCAGTTGGCTCTGAGAGCTTTGAGTAAAAGGCACAACCCTGGGATGCATCTCCTGTCATCTATCTTAGCTGTTCACGGCCCATTTTATTTCTGCATTTTAGGCACCATTCTGAGGTGGCTCATTAAAATGGCGGCATAAAGAGCCTGTGGTTTAGATTCCCATATAATTTATACATTCTATAGTTATCGTAAATAATCTCTATCGCTTCCTGCTGAGTTTTGTTGCCAATATACAGACATGGTGATTATTTACTTGGATTTTTTTTTCTATTGAAGTTTTCAACTATTTTTTTGTTTGACTCTAGGATTTTCTAAGTAAACTGTCAGATCAGCTGCAAAAAGTGATAATTTTGTTTCCTCTTTGCCTATGCATATTCAATTGTTTTCTTATTGTAGTAGCTAAAAGATCTTTAACTATATCAAACAGTAGTGGTGCAAATAGACATCCTTGTTTAACTCAGATATTGGAAAGACCTCTAATCTAATTTATCTCTAATTACATGTAATATTAGTACTTAGATTTGGGGGAGGTACGTAAATTTTTTATTATATCTTCTGTTTCTCACATCATCATCATAATCCATAGTATCCCTCTTTCTACCTCTCTCAGAAAGCCATCTCATGTAAAAAAAGAAAATTCTGGATCTTAGCTGTGACATCCTGGGTGTTTTCAGCTGGTGATGAGCGAGTTCTTCCTCTTCTCACTTAGCCCTCTGATTCTGATCAATCCAGACAATTTCCTTTTTTGTTTTCTTGAACTATGGTGTCCAAAGTTTTTGCTTGGTCACATATTTCAGGGAGTCTGATGATTCTTGAATTTTCTTTCCTCAGCCTGTTTCTCAGTTTATTTGTAGACACACAGAGTTTATTCTGGAGTGTCTTGTTTTGTTTTTCACTTTTTGGATTTTGTGTAAATATTTCTTGCATCATGCAGTCATTAAGTTCTTTTTTGATCTGTTCTGTTTTTCAGGGTGTTTACAACATTGATAAGTTTTTCCACCTTCTTTCCTAAGCTGCTTTCCGTTTTTGTTCCGGAACCCTTCATTTTACTTATAATTTCTTTTATTTCTTTTTACCAGCAGTGTTTGTAGTCCTTGAAACCAAGCCTTTTTTTTTTTCTTCCTGTGAGACTTGGCTCGTACTTAATGTGGCATTACTGTCTTCCCATGTTTCTCTTGTTTCTCATATGGAGGGGGTGGCTGGCCCTGCACCCTCCTTCAGTCTCCAGCTCCTCTCACCGTCTCTTACAGCTCTGGTCTCTGCCACCATGCTCCCTCCCTCTGCTGCCCCTCAAGTACTGAGTTGGCCCGGGTTCTGAGGAGTGACCAGCTTTGTGTCTCTGGGCAGTGCTAGGGGGCTGGGATCTGCCTTCATCTCCCCCGTTCCGAGGGCTCCAGCTGGCTTGTGGCCATCATGTTGAGAGCACCGGCTGTCTTGTGAGCCATTTGTGGGAGCTCTCCTCCAGCACCTCTGTATTTACCCGAGCTTAAGGCTGGCAGTGACCTCTGGAGGGCCTGCTGTTCACCTGAGCTCGTGCTGCTGCCTCTCTCCCTGCCAGTCTTACTGTGCAGCTGCAGATTGGATGGAGGAGCCTTCTTGGATTTCTTTTCAGTTGTCTTTATCATTGGCCTTTCGGGGGTAGTTACATTTCAGATATTTGCTGGGATTTGGATTCGAGGTTCTGCTCTACAATTTTATTTTGTTTCCAGTTTTGAGTCCTCTTTCCTGCTCCCTCTCCCCCACTTAGGAAGAAAGCAAGAAAAACAGAGCCTTATAGGAGTATCCTTAATTACTTTTTTCTGTGTCTCCCGATTCCCCACACACACCCAGGTTGTTTCCCCTTTTTCTTGGCTGGTGCGGATTTTGGCATCACATACCTTATTCTTTTACTATATCCAAGCCCTATTATTTAAGTAAGAGTATTTACAAAGAGAAAGAGACTGTATATTCAGAAGTTATGTTCTCCGGGAACGTAATTACAAGTACATCTAGAAAGTTATACCCAGCCTAATTGGGTCTAACTCAGCTTGTTAATCTGCCTCCCCGAGGCTTTCTCGGTTGAGCCTGGGACTCACACTCTGTCCTCATAATTCCCAAATTTAGGTGGAGTAGCAGGAAGAGCACGAGCGCCCTAGGGAGTCCAGTAGCTTTGCTTTAGCTTACTTGGCCACTTAGAAGCTGTGAGACTTTGGGCCAGTCGGGCAGTAAACATTTATTAAGCACCTGCTTTGTGCCAGACACTGTGCTGAGCCCTGAGAATACAATGAAAGACAAGGCAGCCCCTGGTCTTGAGGAACTCCCAGTCTAATGGGGAAAACAGCTGTGTGCAAACCAGTGAGGGGGCAGGCCCTAGAATTGAGAAGAGTTGGGAAAGGCCAAGAGGTGGCGAGGGTCTTGTTTGTGGAGCAGCCAGGAGGCCTGTGTCACTAGATCAGGAGCAGGGTGTAAGAAGACGGGAAGGGGGGGGGGTGGAGACCAGGTTATGATGGGTTTGAACGCCCAATTCATTCCTCATCCACAGTATGGAGGAGTTGTACCAGATCTCCATAGCTCCTCCCATGGCTTAAAATCGAGAATGCTGCATTTCCGTGTCAGAATACGGCTATTGAATTAACGCCCGGCACTTTGGTTAGTCCCTCACTGAAGGCTAGCCATCTTCTCCAGGTTGTTTTACCCTCTCATCTCCTCGGGCCAGCGCTCAGATCTTGAACTTGACCTACCAGGTAGCTGGAAATAGCCATTTTTCAGAATCACCGCTTTGGTCAGGGAAGGAAGTGGGAGGGCCAAAGAAAGCACCTCGCAGCTCAGCTAGGCCTAATCGTATTTCTGCCGCCGTGTTCTTGTGGCCTTCGTTGCAGCCGGGCTGGAGTGGGAATATCCTTCCTCATCGGAAGCACAGAGAAGAGTGTGATGGTTAAGAGCCATGTACTCTGCAATCCAGGGACACTGGCTTCCTGGCTGTTCCATGAACAAGACATCTCTCTCTCAGCCCTGGCCATTTGCACTGGCAGTTGAATGATGACCTGTTTGCCTCCTGGTTTCCTTGAAGTCCCAGGGGAAAAAAAAAAAAAGAATCCCAGGGCCTAGTGAAGTGCCTGGTACATAGGAAGCTTAATAAATGTTGATTGACTGACTCTGGAAAGGGCCCAAGAATCTGCTGCTCACCTGCCTCCCCAGGGGCTTCTCAGACCAAAGTGTCGCTCCTGGGCATCACTCCCCTTCATCTGTTGACTGAGTCACAGAGACTAATCAGGAGTTGCTGTGTCATCTCAGCAAGGGGACAGAATATTTGTTAGAGAGATTTTGTTTTTCTGTTTTCTTCTCTTGTTTTGTTTGTTAGTTGGAGGGAGAGAGAGAAGATATAGAAATAGAGATGCCGACAAAGAAAAGCAGGCTGCGTGGAGGTTCACAATTTCATGTCTGCTTTTCTGTTCTACTTTATATGTGGGAATGCTGCCTCTATTTGATGTTTAAGTTCAGAATTTTAAAAGCAGGTTTTTTAAATGGAGTACCAGCACATGACTGGTTGCAAGGGAGCCCGGCAGATCAGGGCTTCACCTGGTCATCCCATTACAGCAAGGTCCTTTATGCATCAAGATAGCTCTCGAAGCACTTTCTGCAGTAGCAGAGAGCTGGGAATAAATTAAATGCCCGTTGATTAGAGAACGGTTAAATAAATTGTGGTACATGAAATGTTTCTGTTCTGTAAGTAATGATTGAAATGAAGAGTTCAGAGAAGTCTGGGGAGACTTATGTGTACTAATGCACCGCAAAGTAAGCAGGACTGGGAGTACAACATGCACACGACGGCAGCCACGTAAGCAGAAAAAACAACAGTAAAAAGAAAACCCCCAACTGAATGCTGTGCAACGATAATGCCCCAGCTTGACCCCAAAGCAGAGAGATGAGAAAGAACTGCCCTTCCTTCTGAGAGGGCAGCAGGGACTCTGGCGTGGCCCACGACCTCGTCCGCCTTCCTGGATTTCTTTTCTTAGTGTGAGGGATGATTCTCTGGGAGGAGGGTCACAGGAGGGGGATATGTTGGGAGATGAGGGTGACAGAAAATTATATGAAAACAAAAAATATCAATAGCCATAAAAAATTTGTTTAAGAAAGGGAAGCGTTTCCTTTCCCGCTTCCTCCTCCCTGCAGTTGGGGAATGAGATAAAAACTATCATATGTGATCAAGGTGATTCTCAGCATGTTCACTTTACCTTAGTGTTTCCTTTCATCATCCACTTCTCTGATAACTTCCAGAATATTGGGGTGCTTTTATGCCATAGCCACCTTATGCTGTAGGATATTGGGTCTGGTGGTTTTATGCATGAGCGCACACGCACGCACGCGCGCGCGCACACACACACACACACACACACACACACACACACACACACACACACACCCCGGGAACTGCAAATGGTGGCTCAGTATTGGGTGTGGAAGAAGCCTTGGTTCAGATGACTACGAGCTTGTAGATGCTTTGGATTTCTCAGTATAATTTAAAAATAGATACATTTTTAATTTTTGTTTTAGAGTTGCTCAGAATTACCTTTGAGCTATTCCACGTACAACACTATCAAGACTTTGGGATTATTAATACTAATTTATAATTAGAATAATTTCTCTTCAAAGGTTTTTTCAGTTATTGGCGTGGTAATTTGGCAAATGTTATTCGATATTTTCCAACACAAGCTCTGAACTTCGCTTTTAAGGACAAATACAAACAGATTTTCATGTCAGGAGTTAACAAAGATAAACAGGTAATTCTGTTTTAATATCCCTAATATTCTTTAAACTACTTGAGCTGTTTGTTAGATTCGCTGAGGAGAGAATCTTAAAAGGCAAGGTTTGCCTCCAGTTACATTGTTTTCGTTTTATGTGCTATTCATTTAATAAGCATGATGTGCCAGTGTGGTATAGTGAACAGACAGCCAACCTTAGAGCCAGGAAGACCTGGGTTCAAGTCCAGTCTCTAACATACTGTCTGTGTGACCCTGGACAAGTCACTTAACCAGAGTGCTTTCTAATAAGAATAATTGCAGCTTTCATAGAGCACCTGAAGGTCTGCAAAGCAGTGTCCATATTTTATCTCTTTTGATCCTCACCACAAATCTTTGAAGACTATGTCAGCATTTATAGATGAAGAAACTGAGACCAAGAGAGGTTATTCGAATTCAGCTCTGCCTTGCTCCCAGATCGGCATTCTCCCCACTCTATGGTACAGAGCAGGTGGTGGCCCACTTTGGCACAGGGGATTGCCTGCTCTCTATGTGCTCCTAGGAATGGGGAACCTGTGACCTCAAGGCCACTTGGGGCCCTCCAGGTCCCCAAGTGCTTGCCTTTGACTGAATCCAAACTTCACAGAACAAATCCCCTCCATAAAAGGATTTGTTCTGGAAGACTTGGACTCAGTCTAAAGGCTACACTCAAGGACCTAGAAGGCCACATGTGGCCTCGAGGCCACAGATTCTGCACCCCTGCTCTAGGTCAAGAAATCACAGGTCCAGTCTCCTGTCCCTATCTCTGTTGCATATAATAGCTCACATTTATTATATTTCCTTAATGTTATACCAGCATTTATATGTTTAATACTTCAAGTCTTCAGAGCTTCTTAACATAACTCTTTAACAGTTCATGGAATTAAAAAACCTAAATATCGTTCTTTTACAGTTAAAAATTTTAAATAAAAATGAGGTTTATTTTATATTATGTGAAAAAGTTTTTTAAAAAGCTCTTTTTACTTGACACTTACTAGCTGTGTGACCCTGGGCAAGTCACTTAACGCTGATTGCTTCACCAAAAAGCAAAAACAAAAAAAACATTTTTATGAGGAATAAAAGTTTCCCTATTCTTCCATCTCAGTTTCTGTAACTGACAAGATACTCTACCGTGGCACCCCTATCATGTGGGAACACCTCTTTGATTGAGTTAATAACACAGGAATTTGATGTATAAAGCCATCCTGACTTTAGATTTTTAATTAATTAATTAATTTATTTATTTTGGGGGGGAGGGGCAATTGGGGTTAAGTGACTTTCCCAGGGTCACACAGCTAGTAAGTGTCAAGTGTTTGGTCTGAGGCCAGATTTGAACTCGGGTCCTCCTGACTCCATGGCTGGTGCTTTATCCACTGCACCACCTAGCTGCCCCTTGGATTTTTAAATTTTCAAACAAAAGATGTTAGAACCAAATAACCGTATTTTGTTCACACATGGCTTTATATATTTTATAAACTTTCATAGTATAGATCTCCCTGGTATTCTTTTAGGACTTGAATATATTATACATAGTCATCTATCAGAATATTAAAGCTAATGAGAATCACTACAGTGAAAGTGTAACATCTTTCAGACTTGCCTGGTGAAAAGCAGAGATTGTAAGTCCTAAATTGAAGTTGGGGCAGTGAGCCTGTGAAGCATATAGCTTGAAACATCGACATCTCCGATGTAGATCCGGAAGAGAAACCTCAGAGGTCTCCTCTAGTCCGTCCTCCAGTTTGACAGAAGAAGGGGGCCGAGGTGTAGAGGTGGGTTGGTTCCCCAGCTTAGGTCATTGTCCGGGGCCACGTGGAGGGCAGTGGCTGACTCCACACCCAGCATATGTCCGTCCCCCAAGCCGGGCAACCACCTGGAGCTAAAAATCCGCTGGCGTCCGGATTTGGGAATAGTAAAGTACTGGGTGTGTGGAGAGCACTTCTCGGACCCAGAACTTGGTTCTGATACGTGTAGTGGATCAAGCGCAGGACTTGGAGTCAGGAGCAGCTGGGTTCAGAGCATGCCTCGAGCGCGTTACCTTTGTGAAATTGAAGTTAATATGTGGGGAAAAAGCGTTGCACGCTGGTAAAAGCACCGTGTGAAATTTTCATTCTGATCCTGGTGTCATTGGCATGGATCTGGAAATAAGGAAAGTCTAAACTCCACCACCACTTTCCTCTCTACTCAGTAAACAAGTCACAGGAGTGTTGTGAAGACCCCAGGAGAAAAGGTAGCGTTCCCGAGAAATGCTGTGATCATTGTGGTGATCATCCTCCCTTAGTATCATTATTTGTGTGAAAAGGTAAAATTGTCCAACTTGGCTGTTTATGAATCTACTCTGAGTACAGATTAGTGCACATTTAGCAGTTTTCTCATAATGCTTGTTTTAATTTTTTACCATTCATATATATTTCAGTTCTGGAGGTGGTTTTTGGCTAATCTGGCTTCAGGTGGAGCTGCTGGGGCAACATCCCTGTGTGTAGTCTATCCGTTAGATTTTGCCAGAACTCGGTTAGGAGTGGATATTGGAAAAGGTAAGGCATTTTGGAAAATAGCAGTAGTCTCTGTGTGTGTGTGTGTGTGTGTGTGTGTGTGTGAGAGAGAGAGAGAGAGAGAGAGTTGTACAAGAAATGCAGTAGAGGTAGAATTTCTTATATTTCCTGACATTTCTGTTCCCAACCTTTTATTTAACTGATTTCCTTTGTGGGAGCTGTTAGTATACCACTATGTAACTTGCTGACTTTTTTTTTTCCTTAAAAAATCCATTAACTATAAACCAAAAAAGATCAACAAAGGTGGCATTTTGCCAGACTTAATATTCTTTTGGTGTTGCAACCCAGTCTTGTGAGGCCAATAGCCATAGGAAAAGCAAGCCATTTATTTATTAGGGAACAGAATTGTCAGTGAAGGCCAAATCTACTTATGTGATATTTTCAAACATTAATGCGGTGGAGTTTAATGTGATATACATACACACACACAAATACGTTTAATGTAAAAGTCACATAATGTATTATGGGTAGAATTAGAATTATATTCCAGTTAACTTAACATTTAGTAATTAAAATACCTGTTATGAAAATTTTTAACTTTTAGCATCAAAAAATGATTTTGTAGACATCTTAAAAATACTCTGAATTTATAGCATGTTAAGCCATAAATGTTCATTCAGATTTAGTTTCATTTGACTTGCAAATTTGTCTAGCCAAAAAAAAAAAAGAAAAGCATTTGCAAGAGATAAAAATGTAGCCTACTACATACCCCCTTCTTAAGGTCTTGCTGTGTTTCTCTGCTTCTGAAAGCTGGTTATGCTTGTGTAGAATGATTATTATATGCCAGGCATCTCCAGTTTAATGGAAGATAGTTTGCTAACTGTGAGTGAAGTATTTGGTGCTTCATCTGAATTTGAAGTACTTTTTTTTTTAATTTTTTTTGGGGGGGGTGAGGCAATTGGGGTTAAGTGACTTGCCTAGGGTCACACAGCTATCAAGTGTCAAGTGAATGAGGTCGGATTTGAACTCAGGTCTTCCTGACTCCAAGGCTGCACCACCTAGCTGCCCTCTCAAATACCATTTAATTGCACTGTGATACAATTGGCCTTGGAGTCAGAGGGCCTGGGTTTCAGTTCCTCTTCTGACTTTGATTACTTGGGTGACCTTGGGCAAGTCACTTAACCTCATTGACACCACCACCCCACCTCCCAGTTTCTGTATCTGCAAAGTGAGGAAGTTAGAATAGATAGCCACTGAGGTTTCTTCCAGCTCTAGTTTTGTGAACCCGTTAAAACTTTTGTTTTATTTGTGAATGAACTTAGATGCATGACTTCCTTGAAGTCAAGAATAGACTTCCCATTCAGTGCCTCCTGACTGTGTACTGTATAACACTTTACTCTGTTAGAGAAAAGGGTGATGTTTGATTTCTCCTGTCTAAGATTACAGCACCTTAATTTAGAGCATATTTTATTACTTATTAACATTTTAGGTAAGAGTAATTGAAATGTGCTATTAGAAATCTTACGTTAATCCTTTCATTTTCTTTATTCATTAGATTGCTTAAGTTGCAGTTCTGAAATTCAAGATGTAGACTTCTACATCATAAGTTAAGATTTAAAAAGCCATTTGTCTAATTCTCATTATAGATTATGTGTTGCTTAATAGGAAACGATGTGCTTCGTCATAGGTCCTGAAGAACGACAGTTCAGAGGTTTAGGTGACTGCCTTGTCAAGATCATGAGGTCCGACGGTCTCGCTGGTTTGTACCGAGGGTTTGGTGTTTCTGTGCAGGGCATCATTGTGTATCGAGCCTCTTATTTTGGATGTTACGACACAATTAAGGTAATTTTCTCGTTTTGTTGCTCAGTAATTGCATTTTTGTGAATTGGCCTGAACTTTCGTCAGGTGCGCATAGTTAGCCCAACAATATTGGCTGCAGTAAGACAAAACAGAAGGAACATGAGGGGCATTCGCTGACATTTTCGAGCTGCTCTAAATCAGAGGTGACAAAACTCCTGAGATAGGTCCAAGCCAGGTGAAATGTAATTTGGAAATGGTTAACAAAAAAAGAAAAATACATAAGTTCTTGTTCTTCTGTTTGCCTTTCCTAGCTTTGTCTCCAGAGGCTTGTAGACAAGTCAGTAATTATCAGGATAGGTCAAATGTAGAGGAAACTGCTTGCAGTGAAGTTTTTTCCCCCCATTATATCTCTGTGTTTAATTTGCCCATGGTATCCTCTTTTTGCTTAGTTAAAATTAGCTGGTTTGTCTTTTATGTGGTTTGAACCTATTTATTTTAGACTTTTAATGCATCATGCTAAGCCAGGAACCTAGTTACTATTAGTTGTAATTATTATTTGCTTTCTTAACAATGATAATGATGTGTACAAACAAAAAAGGTTTGCAAAGCACTTCACAAATATTTTTATCCTCCCAAGAACCTTAGGAGGTAAATACTATTATGATCCCCATTTTGCAGATGAGGAAACTGAGGCAAACAGGTTAAGTGACTTGCCCAGGGCCCCACAACTTGTCAGCGTCTGAGGCTGGGTTTGCTCGCAGGCCCACACCGCGGGCACTGTGCCCTCCCAACAGCCCCTTCCCCTCAGTTCTGTGGAAGTTACAGGATGTGGCCTCCAGTGTGTGCACAGGCCTCCTTTGTGCCAGCTCAGGAGCTTTGCTGTTTGTGACAGTGAAGGCAGCAGCTGCCTGAAAACTGACCACTCGGCTAGCTCTGGATCCAAGCGCCATTACAGCTACAGGCCAACTCGGCCACTCCTCACCAAGGACAGGGGTGGGCAGCTGCTGCTGCCTGCCAGCCGTCGCCAGCTGGTTCTCAGCACCTCCTACGGACCAGTGATACTAACCCATAGTAATGTGTGCACGAGTCACCCGCCTCCAGGCTCCTATTGTTTTCCCTCTTGGTTTCTAAGGTTGGGTGAGTAGGTCTTCTTTTTACCTTAATATTTTGCAGGATTTGTCCTTTGACTCGCAATTCAGGGTATTTCAGAAATTAAACCATCGCTGAATATAACCTCCTTTCCTCATTAGGGCTTATTACCAAATCCAAAGGACATCCCATTCCTTGTGTCATTTTTAATTGCTCAAGTGGTGACGAGCTGCTCTGGAATACTGTCTTACCCCTTTGACACAGTCAGGAGACGTATGATGATGCAGGTATTTGACTTTATTTTTGTTGCTGTCGTGAATTTAGATTAAACAGATGAGATGTTCTTAAAAATTGTGTACCCTTCAGTAATCAGGTAGGCTTGACTGAGGCCAGTGTCCTGGTAGTTTGGGTCCAAAACTGAAACAAAACAAGAAGGCATTTGTAATCTGTCGATGGAGTCAGAGCAGGAAAGCGCTATTCATCCGAGATCAAAAGAGCAGAAACAGTCTCTGGTCTCGTGAAAATGCTGTGAACTCCCCCTTAGAGAATGTTCTACGGTTTACAAGGGACTTGACTCAGACGGAGTTACCTGCTCGGATGTGGGTAACACAGACATTGTTTTCCTCACTTTATTGATGGGGAACCTGAGGCTTGGGCTGAGTGACTCACCCATGGTTACAGGATGTGACCTGAACCCAGGTCCTTTGATGCCAAAACCAGGGCACCATATTGGAAGAAGCAAAATTACAAATGGTGTGACACATGGGAGCCATAAGTAGACCATAGCAGCATTCTCAGCAGTGACTTACATGTGAGAAGCGGAGTAAAGGATTGTGTTCGGGACAAGTCTAATCATAAGATAGTGGGCTGGACATGCAGTGAGGGAGACAGCTGGGATCCTGCATTAGTGCCCCTGCTGTATCGAGAAATGTGAGGAAGGCCTCGGCAGAATTTCTGTGGGACATTGATGTGAAGGTGAACAAAAAGTCCAAAATGAGAAGGTGGGGAGTTGTAGTCTGCATGGAAATGTCCACTGCACTGGTCACAGAGTGACCGAGATAGAAACAGGCAGTCCTCTGTCTGGTGGACCAGGCAGTGCTTGGAGGCAGAGCAAGCAGCTGAAATGAGGTGTGGAGGTGATGAGGGCCTGGAATAATGGTGGCGGGGATGGGAAGGAAGCAACATCAGGAACACAACGGGCTCGGCAGGCTTGGTCCCGTACCAGACCCGGGGAGATGGCAGAGAAGTCAAGTGACATTGGGGGTTTGAGCTGGTGATAAAACGGAGAGCCGAGGACAGTGAAGTGAGGGAAGTGGTGCACACGGCCAGTGCTCAGTGCAAAAGTCTCCAGACCTCGGACTTCTCAGGGCTTCTAGGGTCAGGGACTGCATATTAAATTTCATTTCACCAAGCTGGGCTGACTGTAGGGAAATCAAAGATAAAGGCAACGAAAATCCCTGCCCTGGAGGAGCTTTCAATCTAAGGAGCAACATATACGTACACAGATAGCAAGAACCTAGGTGTAGAGCTGGAGGGGCCCTTAGAAATCATCTGGTCCAAGTCAGATAGCAAGGAGCAGAGCTGAGATTTGAACCCAGGTCCTCTGACTCCAAAGCTGCTCCTCTTTCCATTTTTCTGTTCAACTTAATAATATACTAATGGACGTTTATGTAGCACTTGAGGTGGTTTGCAAACTTCACATACATGATGAGCCTATTCGAAAGTTCAAAAGGTATTATTATGATGGTGATTTTACAGATGAAGGAACTGAAGTTCAGGGGTCACACAGCTAGCAAATGCTAGGTTTACATTTGGATTTGTATTACTGACAATCCTCACTTTATGTAGATTCACATCATGCAAATTGTACTTTACCTAAAGAATTCTGAAAGAAATCCACATTCCAAAAAAAAAAATCTCTGTTAACGTTACAGTACAGTACTGTGCTTCTCCCCTCACTCCACCCACCCTTCTGTCCCTCCACGTGAAAGGCACCCAGGGCTGAATGAGGGGTTTGGCTTGAGAAAAGAAACCTTTGCCCCACTCCACCGTCTCTGAGGCCAGCCACCATGCGTCTTGCCCCCTGCACGTTCCTCCTCTTGTTCTCACCTCTCTGTGCTGGCCCCCTCTCTCCATCAGTATGCTGCCCCCTTCCTGCCTCTCTGTCTTCCCTATCTGTCTTCCCTATGTCTGCAGGCAAATTCACATTATGTAAAAGTAAAAATCACTTTATATAGAGGTCTATGGACTGTCCAGTCCATTTACATAAAGCAAGAATTGTCAGTATTTACATGATTTGTGTTCAGGTCTTTCTGATTCCACACTGATTAAGTGACTCAGAGCAGTTCAAGCAGGCTGAAAAGGGGAATGGAGGTCAGCTGTGGAGGATGCGGGGTGCCACGGGGCCTGTACAGGTTCACAGAGGTAAAAGAAGGGTAGAAAAGGTGGAGGGGGAATGAGCAGAGCATGAATGTCATCTGGGGAGGAAAGCTGGACCTGAAGACAAAGCCCAGGAATTTGTATGTATTCGGTAAACAGTGGAGAGCCATTCAGGGCATTTGAACCAGAGAATAACCTGGTCAGACTTGTGCATTCAGAAGATAATACTGGAGAGAAGGCAAGAGGAGGAGGCTGTTCATGTAGGCCAGGGGAGAGACCTGGGAGCTAGAGAGATGCAGTAAGTGAATAAGAAAGATACAGAGGAAGGCGAGGAATAAGGAGGACAGAGAAGGAAGAGGTTGAAGATGAGCTTTGACTGGGGCAATGATGACACAGAAAAGAGTGGAAAGGTAGAGGAGGGGTCTTACTTATGTGTGTCCAGAGCACCTAGCAAATTGTTGTTGTTGACGATGAGTCATCTCTGACTCTCCATGACTCCCCTGGAGGTTTTCTTGGCAAAGATTCTGGAGGGGTTGGCTATTTCCTTCTCCAGCTCATTTGACAGATGTGGAAACCGAGGTAAACAGGGTGAAGTGACTTGCCCAGGGTCACACAGCTACTAAGCGTCTGAGGCCAGATTTGAACTCACAAAAATGAGTCTTCCTGACTTCAGGCCCAGCCATCTATCTACTGAGCCACCAAGCTGCTCCTGCTTCCTTTTATGAAATCTTCAGAATGGGGAGAAATAGATGGGGTCTTTCGATGCTATAGGTTCCTGGAGTTAAGGCACAGAGTATTGAAATGCCTGTTTCAGGCCGCCAGCCCCACTGTCCCAACAGCTGGCAGGATGAATCCATATGGAGTTGTGATCCCAACTTCCTGTGTCCCTGCTTGCTTCTGTCAAGGCTGGATGTAGGCATTTGTCACAAGGGCCTGAAACCCTTTGAACGAGAAGGGCATGATTTGGGGCAGCAGGAGAGAAAAGTTACTGATTCCTCTTTAAGTTACAATTGCCTGTGGGCAAGCAACTTAGTTAAATTATATTTCAGAAAGAAAAAATGCTTATCAGTATTTTTTTTTAACATGACTGAAAACCAAATAATTCTTGTAGCATTTGCTTATTACTACACAGATAATGTCTTGAGACAAAAGGTTTTAACTTATATCAAGAAAATGCTGACTGGTCTTTGTTTTGCTGCAGAGTGGTGAGGCCGAGCGCCAGTACCATGGGACCATAGACTGCTTCTTGAAGATCTACCGGCATGAAGGCCCAGGGGCCTTCTTCCGTGGAGCCTTCTCCAATATTCTGAGAGGCACCGGTGGTGCCTTGGTGCTGGTCTTGTATGATAAAATCAAAGTATTGTTAAATATTGACATTGGAGGCAGCTCCTCGGAGTAATTGGCACTGAGTATAGAGCTTCCTTGTTTAATGCACACATTACGGAGCTGTCATTTGTACAGTTGTTAGCTTGTTGTTGCATATGTCAGTATTTTCTTCAACTACTAATTCTGTAATAAAGCTCTGGCTGTTTTCAAGGATTTAAATACTGTCAGTCAGATAGTTATGGGCTTCTTCACTCTCGTGAAACATTTTTGCATTTTTTCCACTAGTAGTACATACTGTTTCTATCAGTATACAATATTTTATTTTTACTATAAAAAATAAAAATGTATGTTTAAAACCTTATCAGTGAAGTTTTTTTCCTTTCAAATTTTCTGTTCTTTAATATACCCTTCACAATCGTCTAAAATCACATACTATGATTAAACATCTCTTAGAAAGTTCATCCAGCAATATCATCACTTAGCTCTGTTTGTGCAAGCTTTCTTCAGTGGTATCTCTCCTGGAACATTTCATGTATTACCATGTATCATATACCTTAATAAAGCACCAAGAGTTTAGCTGTTGAGTGCCTGGAAGAAGTACACAGGAAGCCGATTGCCCAAGATGTGCAGTAAATTGTTCTCAGTACTGAGATGCCGAGGCAGAGGTAGTAAGTTACAGGGAAATGTCATAAGGCTGTGAATGGGCACAAATGTGGAAGATGAGTTTCATGTGAACAAGTGCTAAGTCATGAACAGAGAGAAACTGCAAAATAACCTTCTGGCCCTGAGCTAAAAGCCAAAAAAGGACCAGAGAGGAGTCCCTGTAGATGTCACTGCACTCCCCCTGGTGCAGAGGAGGAAGCCAGACCAAGGGAAGATGAAGTTCCTCAGGTACACCGTTCTAAGCCAGTTTTGGTGGTTGGCCCTCTGTTCTCGAGAGCAACATCTTGACTTGCAAGTGACTTGGATTTAAGTGAGGCAGAGCTGCCCCAAGTCAGCGGCCTCACTCCTCCAGGGGACAGAGTCCAGCGGCAAGACAAAGATCAAGACTGGCGATGGCGCAGGATTCACATTAAGGTCTTTTCCAAGTCTCTCTTCTCCAAGATGGCACCTATTCAATGACTAAGAGCTAGGGAAGAATTGAAACAAAAGATGACCTCGTTGAACTGTTCTTTAAAAGCTTTAGGTGAAAGAAATTCGCTTTTGCCCCAGACATTTTTTTCTAAGATTCTTGACATTTACTGAGCATTTGTCCAAATGCTGCCAAGGAAGTCATGCTACCAGATGGGCCGCACAAGGTCAGAGCAGGGAATGATTTGCTCAAAACCTACCAAGACAAGGAAATCTGAAGGGGCCATCACCATGAAAGCATTCGTGAGCTTGTACATTTATCATGGCTAGGGACTGGACCTGCGGTTTCACTGAGATGCGGAATCTCCAAGGGAGGAGACTGCCAATGCCCTTCCGACCTCTATAGAAAGCGTCGAGTGTCAGTGCTGTGCTCAGGGTCTCTCCTATGTATCGGGCACAACATGAGCTAAGGCCTTCCTGTCTTCAAGGCCATCTCAACCCATGGTGCCTCCTTGTTCATAGATATGCCTGTTGGAGAACACTCAGAGGGGTCCCAGAAACAGAAGCGCTGCTCTGTGTGTGGAGTGCCTCTGGGAAGCCCAGAGCTTGTGGAGGACAATAGGCAGGGCTTGTCTGTGCCTTCTCACAGCTATCTGGCCTCTGCCTGCCAGGCACCCAGGAGCTCACCTGTGGAATGTCCTTGGCGCCTGATTGCAGCCTCATTTTCAACTACTTTTAGCCATAACGATTTCCCTTTCACACACTTTTACCCTTTAAAGTATTTGTCCATGCTTCGACTCCAATCTTGTTTCTTCATTCAGTAAAATAAAACTAATGCGACAGAATGGATTAATCCATCGATAATCAAATCTAACTCCTGTATAGAACAGAGCCACCAGCTTCAATCTTGACTCCCTCCCTTTTGGAGATCTGGGAAGTAACTCCCAGTAATTGATATCATCCTGCCCAGAGACTAGAAGTGCTACTTAGAACCCTAAAAGAAAGGGCTGACAAAGGAAAAGTCCTAGTGGAAGAAGGAGGTGAATTATGGTGGAAATAACCCAGTACAAAATAAATAATCGGGTCCGAGATGTTTCCATAGCTATCTGAAGTGGGTCTGTATGAAGGTTTGGAAGGTGGGCCCTCAGTGTAAGTTAGCAGAGGGTTTCAATCAACTGGAGACAGTTGATGCCCCATGGCAGGAAAGATTTGGAACTTGGCAAAGGCTGAAGTATAACCCTGCTGTACCTGGTACATTGTGGAAGGCTTAACAGTGGGGATAAGAAAATGGAAGTGAGGAGGATGGCAATGAGAGGTTGCTGCACACCTGCTGGAGCAGAGGAAGCCTTTATAGAATAGCTAGTACAGGAAAAAACCCTTAAGATAGAGTAATGATGTGGAATAGCAAACCCTCGACAGGGAATCATGCAAAGACATGAGGATGTGACAGGTCTCTGGGGAAGGGAGGACAGTGGCCCAAAGGGTGGAAAGGACACTCCTGATTTTCTGTGGCCCCTGGAGTGAGCACTTTTTTTGTCTCTCACTGTGATAAATTTTTTCTATGGTCTGACAACTTGGGAGCCTGAGTGTAAAGTGAGCTTTCTGGAGGAGGAGCCAGAAGTGGAGTTCACCAGTGCTACCTGTGAAGGAATAACAAGCCAAATAATATGTAAGAGGACTCCAAAGCATACTTGGGCCATTCCTGTTAGGAGGGGGCCTCTGACCCAAGAATTACAATTGCATTATATGGCAGTGGTTCTGAAACTGGGGTATGTAAACTTAGTTTTTTTTAAAAAAATTTAATAACTTTATCAATGTATTTGGTTTCCTTTTTAATCCTGTGTTTTATGCATTCAAAAACATTATTCTGAGAAGAGGTCTACAGATTTCACCAGACTACCAATGGATATCCATCCAGTCCACAAAAAATGTTCAAAAAAAAAAACACAACCTAGTCACTCTTGTTTATGGATTGATAGATTCCACCACAGCAACTCCGAATCAGTTCATAATCTGTGACTTGCCTGTATTCTTCCATAAGTCCTCCAAAGGCCCTTCCCCTCAAACTACAGTGCTGCACTCCTTCCTCCTCTAGTCTTTTTAAGATTTCATGTATACCTTAAAAGCTGCACAATACCTTATGTGTTTGTGTTTCAGATGTGTTTTCACATTATCTTATTTGAACCTCAGCAACCTATGAGCTAAGTGTTGAGTAGTGGTTTTTAAAATTCACAGCTGGTTACTTGCAAGAGGAACCCACATCTTCCACAAATGTGGGTCTGCTGAAAGTGCCTCGCTGCTTTGTGGAACAGGTGTGTTCTTGGGAGGCTGGCTACAAAGCACAGTCTTCACAAGAGACCCTGGCTTGAAGTCTGCCCAAGTTATCTTGCTTGTTGGGCTCATTTTCATAGTCTGTCTCCTCAAGCTGTAAAAGTCAATGATTCTGTGATAATTCCTTCATCTTCTGTTTTTAAATGGGCAGGGATGCCCAAGGAACTGTTCTTGTAACATATTTAAGTTTTGTGATTGAATAAGGGACCGTTATCATTCATCTCTCTATTCCACTCTCAAAAAAAGGTCCCTTATTTCTGAGTCTTGGTCATTTTGTGAGTTCCCTTGGGTCTAGATAGATAAGGCATTTATTAAGTGCTTACTGTGTGCCAAGTGCTAGAGACACAAATACAAACAAGACAGCCCCTGCCCTCAATGAGCTAACATTCTAATGAAAGGTGACAACAGAAAGGGGTGCTGGAAGAGTTCAGGGTTGGGGGGGGGAGGCAGAAGGTTGGGATGATAAAAGTATACTGAAGTCCTTCCCAAGTAAAAGGCCACACAGGGGTGCCTTTACCTGGGGCCTGTGAACTTGTTTGTCCAGATTTTTAAAAATGTTTTGATAAGTATTCAGTATAATTGGTTTCCTTTGTAATCCTATTTTATCCATTTAAAAACATTCCAAGAAGAGGTCCCTAGGATTCACCAGACTGCCAGAGGGGCCCATTAGACAGAAGGTAAGCTTAAGACACCTTTGGCATATGACCACCTAGTCATCCCCCACTGTGGTCCTGCAGTGAGTTAAAAACAGTTTGAGTTTTGCAGGAATCTCAGCACTTAACCAGAACTCTCCCTCCCCAAAGGAAACGCCTCGAGCTGTGTTTTAGGATGCCCATACACAGTAAGCTGTTGTGATGCTGACATGCTTTAACTTCTTAAGTACATTCATTCAGCAAACATTAAGAATTTTCAATAGAAAATGAACGTGCTAGGCCCCTAGGATTATGACGATGAATGAGACCATCCTTGCCCTAAAGGAGCTTAGGGTCTGGCTTTTTGTGTTTGTTGTTTGTTTTGAGGGGGAGGCTTTTTTAGCCAAGATGTATGACATCACTGTAGGGAGCACCTGGTGTGGAAATTCCTTCCACAAAATAGGTCAGCCACTCATCTGTAACTTACTGGCTTAGCTGCCTGGTACACCGAATTTAAGTCATTCACTCAGTGACACAGTTTTTATGAGTCGGACCCCAAGGCCCCCTGAGCCAGTTCCCAATGCACTCTGCCGTCCTGCTCCTTGGAACTCTAGTAGGAATGAGAAAATATATGGAAAAATAACCAGAGTCCAAAATGAAATCTGTCCCTGGTCTCTGTCCTTTGAACGTGTGGATGAGTGGTGCACGGTGTGTTGTTTTGCCACGTGGGTTATATGTGTCTACAGCCGTCTGTCTCAGTCCGCCTTGCAGGAAGTCATGCATAGACATCTCTAGAGTTCCCCCCTCATCCTTTGCCAAGGGAGGCTTTGATTCCTGCCAGGAGGAGAGCAGGACATTGGGACCCGAGGCTGGCCACGTTGCTCCCCTGAGAGGGAAGAGGTACCAAGATAGAATTATATTCGTTGCTCCCTTATATTTAATTAGTTGGGGAAATAAATGTTAGATTCAAGCTGCCGTCCTGATCACTATTCCTTAAGGGAGAAAGGAGAGTCCCAAGCTATATATCCAAGGCTTGGCTCCCTTCCCTCCAAATGCCAGCTTCACAGTGCAAATCAAAAATCCATTCACCCAAACAGAAACAAATCAGAAAAAGCATATGATGAGAATATGTCTGGAGCTCTCCTGAGAAAGCAAGACATCTTAGCCCAATCGAGAGAGTCTCAGATTGGGGATGGGGGGTCAAGGGGTTCCTGAAGTCTCTAGAACAGTAAGCTAGAGATAGGGGCAGGTTCAAAGTGCCAGCTCTGCTACACGCCAGCT